TTATTATTATTAATATATTATCAGCATTATTACTACTACTATTCTAATGCTCATTACCATTATTATAGTCATTATAACTTCTACTACTACTACTTCTATCATTAGAATTGGTAACCATCATCATCATCATCATCACATTACATCTACCACCACCATATCATTTCATAATATATTTTAATTTAAAAAGCACAAGTTGTTACACCTGTAAGCTAGAACCTAGAACAAAATGACTTGTCACTGTCAGTTATCACTATAGAGTGATAATATGCACTTGTTAGTGCTTGGCAGTAATATGGAAATCCTGGACCAATATTTACAAACGAAGTGTGACGACGCTGATATGTTAATGCCTCTTGGGACAAGGCCGAGCTGCCATGAATGTGGGTCATATAAGAGATTATGACAGATTTATGTATGCCATAAACAGACTTCATCAAATATATCATGAGTTCTGACGTACATGTTTATAATATGAGATCAAGAGCTTTATAGTATAGTACTGTATGCATATCAAACATGTTTCGATAATGTTTCCCCCTCCACAATTTCAATGGCTTGAACAGGTGATGTATTAAATCTGGTAATATGTAGTGTCAATAATTACTATTTTTATAGCTATCATATCATGCATGCATCATTAGAGACTGAGACAGAATAATTATGTTTGAGTATTAATGGTCCAGAAACATACACTAAATGTTGTATTTGAAGAGTTACAGTACATTTTATACAATCACATAAATTCTGTCAAAAATACTCTTCAAAATCTTCTCATGTGATTGCACTGGGCTCAAATCATATATTCAAATATGAAATATTGAACAAATTGATCAGTTTGTGTTCTATATTATGATATAAAAAACCTGGAAATCTGATCCATTCCCAGAAATATTTCAAAAATAATTTTTCATAAACATCTCACTAACCCTAACTCTAAACCAGAAACTAAAAGTGATTTACCAAATCAGCCATAATCCGACAAGGTTAGATGTAACAAATCGCAGCTCCTATAGAATATGCAGCCATGCAGCTTCAATCTGTAGATTTATTTGTGGTGATGGTTATTTCACCTGACTGCTAAGAAAGCATTAATGCTTGTAAGTAAGCAACCATATGGCCGTCGGTTTTAGGTCCTCTCCAAGGGACCTGGTAATGAGGATTAATGCCTTACCAAAGGACACTAGTGCATCGCCTTGGTGTCGAACCCGGGTCGCCAAATTACGAGCCCACTGCTCTACCAACTGAGAGCTATCGCATCTCCTCTCTCTAGATAATTCCCTGTAACCAAGTTTATTTTACTGGAGCTGATAATTACTTTCAGACAGCACGACGCAACTAGCCTGGACATTTCACACTTTATATTCCACGCATCTTCAATGATGTATGAAGGTGCTGTGGAGAGTGAAGCACTCTTGATGAAATTAAGTGGTGAAGTACACTAAGAATCCATAACACAAAGTTAGGTAATTGATCGTATCATAATACAGTCAAGCCTGCTTTAGTGACCGCCTGTATAGAAAGACCACCTGTCTACCAAGACCACATTTTGTGTAAATACGAGTCTGAACAGAAAGTGGAATAAGCTTAACCTCGGACTATAGGTGGGGCTAACCCCCCCCCCCTTAACCCGACCTATAGTACAGGGTTAAGCAAAATATTGCCAGTATGAAAACAGTATTAGAATCTTATTATCTTACACAATAAACAATGCAGTATTGAGGATGCTTTTTAAATATTTTTTTTTCTTCAAACCTCTTACAGTATTTGTCTTCCTCCTATATTCAGTACTACCTTTATGAATATATTATATAATTCCATAAAAGCTTTGATTAAAAGAGGCAGGTAATGCACATACACTGTACATGTACACCGTGTTGCATAGGTGCATAGTATCATGCAGTTTACACCACTGTATACATGTGGTCTGCTATGAGCCAGGGCCCGTATTCAATTCAATACTTAAGTACAAAATTTAGGCTTTTTACTTAGTATTTGGCTTACATAAAATACTTAGCCAATTTTGGTATTCAATTCACACTTTTGTGTAAGTATTTTACTTTCAATCTAAGCCAACTGCATACCAGACTTAAGCCAATTATTTGGTGGCCTTGATTGGCAGGCATATGGTTTTCTTACGCAGTATTGTATCCCGCGCACAATTATATCAGCGCGCATTTATTGCAATGCATCAATTGCGCATTACTTTTGATTGACCGTGTGACGTCACAATGCTTATCAGTAAGTATTTTACTTAAATTTTGTCTTACGTATGTATAAGTCTAAAATGCAATTTGAATACGAGATAAGTCAATTACTTAACTTAGCCATTTACTTAGTAAATTTCTTACTTATGCTAAGTATTGAATTGAATACCAGCCCAGAAGTTTGTTGACTTGTATTATTTCAATTACAAGGGGGGGGGGGGGGTGTTTCACAAAGATCCTAAGTGGAACTTAACTCTAAGTTGGACTTTGTAGCCTTAAAATAAAATATTCAAAAGCAAAAATGCAAGTATTTTAGACATTTGATCAATTATCCACATCAAGAACATGAAATCTCCTTGATAATAGAAAATATGAATGATTTTAATCAACATGTTATGTCTTTTAAAATAACTTTTACAATTTTTTTTTTTACAGATGCTATTAAACGGCTTTCCATAACTTTTAAGTCCAACTTTGAGATTTAAGTTCAACTGAGGATCATTGTGAAACACCACCCAGGAGTGATACGGTCCTGTGGCTCTCAACATAAGATATTGTCTGTTCACAGGTTAAGGGCATAAGCTGTGTATTAAAGACGTATTAGTATGTGAATTAATGCCCTTGTGACTCTAGAGTATCAACAGAAGATATAATTATGCTCAATACCAAGCTTTCATACGTGACTCAGCACTGAAAGTGAAACAACTTTCAGTCGTAATGGGCCCATTTGCTGTGGGATTTATATGGTACTGTACATGTGGCTAAGTTTGAAATTCCCTCTCAACAAGATATATTCATGCATCATGCATGCCATTATTACTGCTGAAGGTTGCACATTGAAATTTGTAAAACAAAAGATCTTGAGTACTACAATCCTGCTTTGCAATTAATGATCCATATTAGATAAACAAAATTGTACAATAAATGTTGTGGATCGTGTACAATGATCCTACAGCTATATTGAGGCGTTTGCACAGGATACATATAAGAAACATCATAAAAAAGGTCAATTGTTTGGGGAGGAATGTGAAGATTCCTCAAGTTCTCATACAGTATAACGTGAAGACCAAACCTACGTTTTCCGCTGTACCTGTACTAGGTTTGTAATGATTCACACAATAAAAGAAAGCAGAAAAAATTTCTTATATAGAGTTAATGAAACAACGTATAAATAATTGTCCATGTCTGAATGGGTCTGAATGGGTAGGGATGGGTGGGGGGGGGGGGTTGTTAGGAGTTTGCTTCTAGACAAGGACACAAAAAGGCTGAAAAAATCAGGCCATTAGGGTGAAGAATGTGAAGAAATATGGAAGTGCATGACAGCAAATGTACTTAAATGTACTCAGATGGGACCAAGCTGAGACATCTGATACAAAAATTGGCTCGAAGAAGGACTTGAGGAAAACACTTCACTGACTTGATCTCACCTTTCAGAAGTTGATCTTTTTTTTTTTTTTTTTAAGCACACTAATGGATTTTGTTGCTGTTTTGTTTGTATTGCTCAAGAAAGTGGTTCTCTGTACAGAGTTACATCATATCTGTTTTTGAGATTTTAATGTGAAAAATTGTCACAGGGGAAAAAAATTGGGTGAATACAAGATCTGTAAATATGTCTGATATATCTACATTTTATTTACCGGTACACATTGTCTGTTTGGAGCTAGCCAGAGGGGCATTTACTAATATACTTTTACTTCTGTTCCTAAAATATTGATATTAGACATACATCTAGAGTGATATATACATGTACATGAAACTACATCATTATCACAGCAATATTTCACAATAAACTGGTGCTTGACAATTTCATTTTATGTCTGTTAGAAAATGGACCCCTGAAAAGCCAAATCAATTAACAATGAAATCAAAGTTCACAGATCGGTGATTTAGTTGAATGTTTACAACATAAAGTCAAATCAAAGTTCACCTTAAAGCAGTGAATTGCATTTCAAAGTCTGCTGCATAAAACTAACAACAAAAAGAACACACACAAAAAAGGTGGTGCCATAGAAACTTCTATATGAAAATATGAATTGTAAAACAATAAGACAAAATCTGTATGATGAAGTCCTATAAAATGTAGATCCTCATTTAATATTAATGAGTTCGATTGGATAATGGAGTGTTTGAGCAAAGTGCATGCAGGGCCACATGTCCGATGAGCAGCAATGCACTACCATTACCTTTCATGTCTGTACCTACTACCTTTCCTCTTGCACTTTTGTATATATTTATCATGTACTTTATCTTTTGCACAAGCTGCGCCTTGAGCATTTGATTGTCAAGTGGATTTGGCGCCTTAGAAATATTATGTATTATGCACACTTCATCATCTAAACCACATTAACTTTCACATCCTACCGGGTACCCATGTAACACCTGGGCGGAGAGTGGCAAATGAAGATTAACGTCTTGCCAAAGGACATTAGTGCTGCGGCGGTATTCGAACCCTGTACCTTGTGATTTGCAGTTGGGTGACTTATCCACTAGATCACAGCATCTATAATAATGTACTTTCTTGTTCTGTGTGTTGGCTGTCTGGTGTTGGTCTTATTGGAGGGACCGAGGTATAAACTTCCTTCACAAACTCAGGCCAATTTATAGCCCGAGCTGGCCTTTACCATTACTGGTCCAGCGATGAGTCGAGCACATCTTTGACAAGACTTTCCCAACTGGGCCCAATAATCCAAAAAGCCTATGCAGTTTCATACAGGTGCTTTTAATCATATCATGTATACTGGTATGTACGTGAGCGAGGCTCAATTGAGACCCCGTGAGACCAAAGTTAGTCCTTACCATAACTGGTCCAGCGATGAGTTGAGCACATCCCTGACAAGACTCTCCAAACTGGGCCCAATAATCCTTCTGACAGTAGAGCTTCTTATCCCTCTCAAAGTACCAGGACGATAGCCGCTGCTTGCACTGGCTGCAACTGCAATGTAAGTAACGAAGAGAGAAGAAGGTTTGAGACAAATTAAAGCCTACATTTACTTTTGCACTGAGCAATAACTTACAATGCGGTATGTTAACATGATAATATACCTTGAATATACCTTGAAGGCCATACCTCTCCATCGTGGTGATGAAGATCCAGTAGATAGTGTGGTGTGGCAGGGTTAAGGGGTCCCATGGGACCCATTTAAAAACCCAGGTTGGATACTTGTTGTTTGAAGCTGATAGCTGAAGCTGATAGCCAGGTATTATTGCTATTTTATATAACTAGTAATGTGCACAGTGGCTACTTTATACAGATATGCATTGTTCAGCAATCAGCATAATTACTCTCAGTTAGTTTTACCAAGATATGTCTACATGTACTATTTAGTGTTTCTACATCTATGAGATATAAATTTTGGTAATAAATGACCATATCAAAGTACAGTCACAGTATTTGGAGCAGCAAATTACATACGAGCGTTGAGCGATTAAGCTCTAGTAAAAGAGCTCTGGTAAAAAACAAATAATTAAATATTATTGTGAGTAAATCACACTTATAAATACAACACAAAATCCTGGAAGAGCTTCCACAAACAGAAAGGTATTTTTCACACTGATTTGAAGATCCATTTATAGCACAGGGACAGAGAATTTGATATGGTCTGTTGATGAGACTTTTAAGTTTTAAGATAATATCATTTTATCAAACCTGTCAATATCAGCCGACAATCCACATTGACATGACACAAGTGTTCCAACAGCTTCCATGGTTAATCTATATCATCCAAATAGTCGTCATAATCTCGAGACAAAATCTTCTCAACAATCCATTTGATATTCCTATTGCCTATGATACAAAGTCTCCAAGTACATAAATGTTTGCATTTCTCACAAGACATTATCTTGAATGAATTCTCCTAAAAATTCTATCCAGTTCATTTCCGATCCAGCGCATTTCCAAACTATGAAGAATGATCATTCTTTCCCTCTTGAAGACGACAATCTCCAAGTTCAAACTGATAGTTTCTAACAGACAAGTCCGTAGCATATATGCATAAACTTGTTCATGTTGTACGATGCAGAAGAAGAATGACGAATCAGGGCTTTCTGGTATGCTATTTATCTGCATGTGCACATATTATAGCACACATGTACACCTGTACATTTACCGGAACATGTATGTACATGTAGGTAAAGTATTGCAACAGTGGTCAGACTACCAAGTTTACTAACCAAACAAAACTAAAGTTGATATAGGGCTTCTTTTATCGTAGATCCATCACATCTTTTATGTCATAACAATATTGACAGAATGGATCAAGATAAATTTGGTTTCAGGCTGCAGGTTATAACTTTACGTACTTAATGATGAGTTTTAAGTGGTCATTATAACCCCTAGTTCAGTTCAGTGTGGTCAACCCTACTTATACATGTATGACCAAGAATGAAACCGGATTAAAGTTTAACTGCAAATTATTAGTTGATAATACCTTAAAATGTACCAAAAGTCTTCCAGTTTTAAACCAACATATACCATACCAACGGTTTGTTTTGTTATTGTAGTTGCTGTTGTTGTAATAGTTACATGTACTTGGTTCATGTTTTTGTTAAATCTGATTTTGTATAATATATTCTTAAGGGATTGACCATAGACAGGCCTGTAGGCCTATTGTCGATCCCACCATTATCTGTTATGTTTTATTTATGGTGTATTCTTGTTTGTCCTTTGATTGTTTTGTATTTTTATCAGATTGTGGAAATAAACTAAACTTTAAAGTTTAAACTTGATAATATTGGTCAAACAAACAAAAACGGAAATGGTGGATTCAACAAAAAAATGTACATTGTAGAGGTTGGTAAGTGAGGTTCAGTACAATGACAATACTGGAACACCCTAGCAGACAAACACCCCCCCCCCCCCCCCCCGTCTCCCTCCACCATAAAAACAACAACAGACCATTACACTGAACATGTTGGTCCTACATGTATGGACCCTCAGAAGATCTGAGGATTCACAAGACCAGCAAGCCTGTCTCAAGGAATCCTAACATAGCATCCTAACATAGCTTTCATTTTACCTTCAGAGTACATCTACGTGTAGGTCAGGTATACAGTCATCACAGGTTCTGGAGAGCAAATAATTTCCTGAGAACTTGTATAGTAGATTATTTTTAATTATGACTGAAACATGTACATTTACAGGAATAGGATTATATTTGTGACTTTTATATAACAGCCAAACTGACTCCGAAACCAACTCCAAACAAACCGTTTCTCAGCCACTCGGGGTCATGTAATTTTTTGTTGTTATTCTGTTTTGGTGTCAGGCTCGTTGGTGTGTTTGGGGTATGAATTATAAGACTATTCTATAAAAAAATTCAGAAACTTAAGATTTCATGATACACTGTAGCTGTCTCATCGGGTTTGATATCTTCATTTTCCTTCCTGATTAAAATGTGACATTTTCAATCCTGAAAATCAGAGCAAATTGCGTTTACTAATACTAGGCCCCAACATTCACACTTTGTCAATTTTATTAAACTTCAGACAACCTTTAATCAAGTTTTTCTCGCCTTCCTGTGTCAACAAAATTTGAGATGAAAATACAGTACATCTGGCAGCGGCTTTTAGGGGTAATCATTACCGGCCTCTAATGATTGGTCTTTAATCACTAAATACTACAGCATGTGTGTCACGGGTTGAAGACTTTTCAGTATGTTCCAATATTCTTTCTGCATTGTACAAATATAAGTACTATGTTGCGTGTGGACGATAAGGCATTCTTCCAAATAAATGCCTTCATTTTTCATTTCACCTCATATTCTTATGATGGCTTGAAATAGATTCTAAAATGGATAGAGTTTTTACCAATAATTTAACTTTATTATCATTTTGTCTTTCTATCTCTCTCTCTACATCTAGAGCTACATGTTTACATTCACATACATTGTAAACAAATTAATGGAAAATTGAATGAGAAAGTTTCACAAGAGTGAAGAGTTTGAATGTTGTAATTAAATGAAAATCTGCCATTTTAGACATAACGTCACCTGGCTGGCAAAAGGACGTTAGCTTGAATTTCAGGTAAAAAATGAAGCGCTATTAAAGCAGGAGGGCGTTAGCACTAGATCGCCTCAAACTTTTATAAAACTGACTTTCCGAGAAAAAAATTGTGGCCGAGTTCTACTATAACATTTCTATTAGTCTTTTAAGTTTTAAACCAATTTTCGGGACGGAAAGCAGTTTTTAATATAAAACAAATCTTTAAATGCGAATAATTCAAAAGCCAGCCGGGCAACGATATATAAATTTTAAGTTATGAGATCTGCTCTAAAGTTCAAACAGAAACATTAGGGGAGTACATCTATGTAAAAAATTGATGTGCATCTTCACGTAGACATGCCAGTATTTCCTTACAAGATATTCTCTTGCTCCCCAGAGAACCTCAAAAGTTTCACAAGAGTGAAGAGTTTGATTGTTTTATGTACCGGTAAATGAAAATCTGCGGTTTTTAAACATATAAATTTCAAGTTATGAGATCTGCTTTAAAGTTCAAACAGAAACATTGGGTAAGTACAAGTATGTATTGATGTGCACCTTAATGTAGACATGCCGGTATTTCCTTACAAGATATTCTCTTGCTCCCCAGAGAACCTCAAAATGCCAAACACTCCTCCTCTCCTGGTGCGGCCTCTTCGGAAGTGTCACTTTCAGCAGACGGTGAATTTTTCTCATTAAACAGAGCTGTTATGATACGCCATTGTCCCCAGATGGCAAGTACAGGCCTAATTATGCTGCAAGCGCTAGACCAGACGTATCATGCCACAAGACTCATTTTTAATTGATTCACCACTTCCATCCCTAGAATATAGAATATCACACTTTTGTATTAAGCCAACATTCAATAGCCACTTGAAATGAATTCATTGAAATCTCTTGTTTGCATCCACTTGTAAAACAATGCAATACAATGGATAAAGTGGACAATACTTTAAGTCCAGGAAATACATGAGTTTTATAAAGTTATAACAAACTTGAAACTTTAAAAATAGGTATTTTAGATGGAAACTTTAATTTTGGGTTATATACAATTTAAAGTGGGGAAATTTGAGTTTCAAGAGCGTCATTTGCACATATCCGGGTATATCCAATAGAATCACATTTACTTAATTCTAATAGCAGCCACACCTACATGTATATATTGGTCTCTTGCAAACACAAAAGAAATTTTTTTTGAACAATTAGTCGCAGTTAAAAAAAACACTTGTAGTTTGTAACATAATTCAGAATTGAGAGCAATATGAAGCAAAACAATACACACATGTACATGTACATGTACATGTATAAAAAGCAACTAACCATTGATATTTTCTTGGTATTTTTTCAATATCAATATTGACAAACTTATTAACTTATTGATCTAAATCAGAAAACATACAAAACAGAATTCATGATAATTTTACCTCAAATACAATTCAGTGATATTTACAATTTAAAAGATACTACACTGTATGTACTCATATACATGTACATGTCTTTAACTAGAATACCAAACTGTGAAAAGTGTAAAGAGAGTATAGCTTTGAACACTTTCTTGCTCACTGTATAACCAACTAAAGAACCAACTCCTTCTCCCCCCCCCCCTCTCTCTCTCTCTCTTCCTTCCTCCCTCCCTCTCTCTCTCTCTCTCCCTCCCTCCCTCCCTCCCTCCCTCCCTCCCTCCCTCCCTCCCTCCCTCCCTCCCTCCCTCCCTCCCTCCCTCCCTTCCTCCCTCCTCCTCCTCCTCCTCCTCTCCCACCACCATCTTCTCCTTCATCTTTTCCTCCTCCTCCTCCATCTTCATTATTTTTCACATCCATCTTCAGTGACAGAGGAAAAACAGTTAAGACAGTTAACGACCCAAATCCCTTTAAAATGATTGTAAGGGAACTCACGTGAAGCATAATGAATGCCAGTCTCTTTGTAACGCCTGCACATACTCTGCATCAGTGATTTTCTTGCAGCACAAGGCGCAGATGGGCCCAGCATCTGGGATGTCTACAGAGAGAGAGAGGTGATAAACAAACAAAATAAAACATGAGTGAAGGGAAGTGAAATGCACTCAAGAAGAATAACATCTGATGAAACTAATGTCACTGGATGGGGAATGGGTTAAAATGATGGGATTAATTACACCACCTCACACGTACCGGTACTGACAAAAAAAATGTAAGATGATATAAATCATGCGCTTAGCACTATGCAATTATTCTCAATCATTTCAACAAAATATTAAAGACTGTAATATTTCCTCACAAATATATCAAAACTAATACAAAGTTTTGGTATGGGGTCATGAATTTGGTTCAAATGAACATATTGGAAGCATATGATTTTACAATGTTCAATTATCGTTGTCGCGGTTGAAATCAATTCTAAAGTGATGAAATTGTAATTAATAAACTCTTTATGTTGTATAGCGCCATCTCAAAACTCATATTACTTTATCTTTTAAACAATGTTTCTTGACTACAATCGACCGATTTGCTATTCCCATTTAAAAGTTATATATTAGAACTGGTTATTCTGAGATTTGCATGATTTTCATTCTCATTCTTGTGGAGTAGGAGTACATGTACACCCACACATTGTGCGTCCGGACAGGTTGTTTATGTCGATAGTCAATTTCAAACAGTAATTTGAAGAAGTTTACTTGCAAAATTCTTTACATGGTTAGTTTTGTATGCAATATATTTTTCATTAAATCGAAAGGCAAAAGTGAGTTTTATTTTTGTTAAATGTCTGGACATACAAGCCCCTATCGTACTTTTGTGTTACTGCCTTATTAGTATGTTATCATATTATACAGTACTTGCACAAACATATGGGCACTCTAACTTTAAAACATTTTTATTGAAAAAAAAGCAGTGCTGAGTCAGTAAACATAATTCTCGAATACAAGGATATCTTCCTGCCATTGAGAATTTCCATCTATTGCACATACATTTGTAATGGTAATGTTCAATCTTTTTGTAAATCAACTACCAATAATCTTTTCTATCTTGAAGATCTTCATGTGTACAATAGTCTGTTTTCATGTAAATTACATAAAACTTCACCGACACCCGATTTGGTTGAACTACCAAATTAATAAATAATTAATGTGTGACGTAGATCTCCAGAGGCGTGTTTCACAGAGATTAAGATCTACTTTAATTAGGACTTAACTATGGCAAGCTGTTCATGCCACTGTTTGCTCTCACCACTTAATGGCATTTGTCTCTTAAAGGACTTCCAAATCATGGTAACAAATCTACAGAATTTACATTTTTGAAAAATTCATTATCGAAGGAAAAATATTATCTAAAGATCATAATGGTGAGAGCAACCAGTGGCATGAACGGCCTGCCATAGTTACATGTAAGTCTTACTTAAAGCTGATCTTAGTCTTTGTGAAACTCCCCCCCCCCCCCCAGGTTTCCCTGGCAGCAAAATTTGGTGGGAACACTGGGAATTTTGTCTTCAAATCTCGGGTGAGGGAAAACTCAAGCTGATGAGTTTTCTGTAAGAGGAGGTTCGTTGACCCGTCTGTGTCAGTCACTTGGTATAAACATTGATGAATAGTGTCCAAATCTCCACGAGAACCCAGACAAGACTCCTTTTTTTTCTTCTCACTTTTGATTTTGATGACATTTTAATTGTTATAACAGATACATGTAGCTAGTATGACACCTCATTGGTTAATTAGTAATAGAGTAAGAAAATCTGCACATAAGTCATGTAGTGGTACAAACACCATAAACACATAGACACTCAGACTGTCAGACACTGGTATTACTTTTGCAAATTAAACCTCAAATTTAATTTTAAATACCTTTGTGATGATCTAATTAGAGTCTATAGACTAATCGCTAATAATTATCAGTATCACTAGATTATTCACTCTATCACTTGTATCAGTTTCGTTTCACAACAAATCAATGACAAACAATGAGTCTTCTCACTCTTCTGTCTTCTAATGCTATCTTTAAGATGGGATTCACAACTATCCCTAGTTCCCTTGGCCTTGACTTTGAGCATCTCATCTACAATCTGTCACACATCTACTCAAACAAAGCTTCACGACCGTTCTCACATCATGAATTCGGCCTCACTGCACTCATTCGTGTGTTGTTATGTAGGAAAGAACACACCGAGGTCTCACGCTCAACCACCCCGTTGTTCCGGCTGTGCTATCGACCGATCACTGCACTCCCTGGAACAACTGCTGCGGCCGCGGCCACCTGTTTTAATTTACCCCCGAGTAAACGAATGTAAAAAACATTTAAGCCTGTCATGAAACCCACATCGCCTTCTAAACTTAAATAATTCAATATCGATATAATATCAGCCATACCATGTTTTGAAGTCATCTTGGATCAGAAGAAAATCAGGGAAGATTTGCAAGTTAAAAGCATCTCACAGAATGCGGTGCACTAGCTGTCGATCGCAAGCTAAACAATAAAACGCCGATTATGGTGGATCGCATCTCGCGAGTCGGGTTGGAAAGTCTTCCGGTTCCCGTTGTTTTGGAGTTTCAGAGAGATGGAGGGCAGCACAATATATTTTATTTACTCACATTGTGAGTCATTTCAAGTAACGTATTACTGATTTTATATTCATAGCATCAGACTGCTGGCTATGGCTAATTCGGTGGCGGATCCAGGGCCAGGGGGCCCCTGAGGAAAAAAAACGAGTAAAAACACGTAAATTTTACCTTTATTTGAAGACGGGCCGCCTCGAGGGTGGGGAGTGCGATTTTAAAATTGTTGGGGGCAAAACAAACTTTAGTACTCCTTACCCCCCCCCCCCCCCCCAACGCTTATTTACTGCCTGGCTGTTTCGCCGCTAAATATTTTCTCAATTGGGCCCCCTCTTTGGCCCCCTGGCCCTGCATGCCGCCTGCTGATCCGCCCACATGGGCCCAATCACCGGGAAGGGGAAGATATGGTAGACGTTCTAGTAGGTCCATGGGTAGACCTACTCTGTCAACTTGCCAAGAGTGGGTCCCAGATCAGGATTGTCAGAAAGCTAGGGAGGGTCCGAATTTTTTCTTCTTCTTGCCTTCACAACATTACGGCCGTGTTCCCATTGCCACCTGTCCACCCATTTTGTTGTTATTGTCTTGTACAAGGCCGTAGAAACTTACTGAACTATAGCTAGCCTACCTAAAACCGAACAGGTGCCACAATGGGGGCGGATCATAATTCGAGCAAGTGCCCTTAATTCTTATTCACGAGGCTTTTCTTCAGTACCATGCATTCTCTCTCTCTCTCTCTCTCTCTCTCTCTCTCTCGATTTATTTATCTATCTTTATCTCTTTATATATTTCTATCTATCTATCTATCAATCCGATTTAATCATCTATAAATATCTATATATCTATCTACATAATCTATACATTTGACTATCTGTATCCCTATATAATATATCGATCGACGGATCTTCTATCTCCATCTCTTTTTTTTTTCCTGCTCTCTTTTCAGGCCCTCTTTTCCTTTTTTCAGTTGCCATTCGGTGGGTTCAAATTATACTAATAGTACACCATAAATCTCCCCCCCCTCTGCAATAAGTTTTAACAGTTGTACACCAAATTTTTCTTGTTTGTGGCATTTGCAAACCATAACAATAATTTAATTGAAAGCCTATTGAATATGTATTTCTTCTCATTTGAAATTAAGCCATTGGCCCCGGCCTGGTTTATCAACATGATCCGATAAAATAAAAAATAAATTGAGGTAATGAAAATAATCTATGATCCAATTTACTAATCTAAGACAATAACAAAACATCATGATAGACCTTCTGGGATTAGTGGCCTCATTATCTATTAAAAGAGGGTGGCCGGGCCGGTGTGCACCAAAAAAAGATTATAAATGACTATTTTTGACATGATAACCTCAGGCCCATGTATCTTAAAATAACACTTGACATTCCACGTGGTAATAGCCAGTGCATGGGCCCAAATCAGTGACATTGCCCAGCTATAATGAACGGGAACCTAAGTCACGTCTTACATAGAAGTAGGGGGAACACCGTTGTTAACTATTTACCATAATGAATTCACTGTCGTACTGATGAGGGGGTGCCCCCAGTAATCAAATTCGAACGTGGTTTATTATACTGATTTGATACCAGTGATTTACAAATGTTGCTGAAATGACATAATTTTTCCGTTTTTTTTTTTTTTTTTTGCTCATTGCGCCACTGTATGAATTAGACATGAGAGATCATTTATAACTAGTCAAGCCTATCGATGGGATATACGGAGCCACGGAGGGGAGGGAAGTAGAACAATAGGACGAAAAAAAAAAACGAAGAGGAGGAGGAGGAGGAGGAGGAGGAGGAGGAGGAGGATCTCTACATATGATCTGAGATATAGTTATAGCGCCAGCTCTGGTTTCTCATCGTACAGGCTCTAGCCATTCAAGATGGCAGCGCTCACAGAACCCTCACGTGTTGGATCGAAGTCAAACCGAGCAGAGAGAAAGAAACTTGTGTCCAGCATCAAACAGAAGGCGAAAGATGTATTGGGCAGCAAAGAAAATTCCAACAACATTGTTGAAATATTAGAATATCTGCAGGTAAGATATGGAAAGCCCAACTAGATCTAGGCTAGACTAGACAGCAATAACCATCTGATTTGGGTCATTTCTTTAATAAAACTGACATTTGTTGTCATTCCCCAATACAGATGGCAACCCAGAGATCTCGTACCGTGGGGGTAGCTATAGCCAACAATGGCAGCTTTTTCTGTCAAAACATTTTCTCCCCGATTTTCTTTATTTAGATCTAATTTTCTGATTTCTAAATCAGATGTAAATTAGAAGTCTAGGTCGGTATGTCATTTGTCCTAATTACAGTTATCAAAATTTGATAACTTAATATTAAATACATAATTTACGGACTTACTTATATGAATTATCCAATTTGTATCTCAGATCCGCGAAGCAGTACGTTCATGCATTCGAAATATTACCCGGCGGCCGATATATTTCCGGGTCCACCTACCAAAACATAGCCAAATGGCCAATCAAAGCACTCGTTTCGTGGGAGTTCGTTGGTCAAGCTGGGCCGACTCGTACGTAGCTACGGTAGCTATTGGACGCTCGAAAAGAAAAAATGAATATTCATCAACTAAAACCAAGACGGATAATGTTGACGACGAGACTTTCTCGGATTAATCATTAATTTAGGATCTAAATGAGCAAGCTATCGTAAGTCAAATAAGCTATATATATGTTATTTTTAATTTGTGTTGTAATTGCAGCAGTTATGAGGATGTAAAGAGTGAAAATCTCGTTGCATATCTCATTCATCGCGGTCCGGTCGAACCGAACCATTTGTTCCGTACAGTGCCTCACAGAAAGAGGTCCCCAGACTTCAGTCTCTATAATCGGAGGTCTAGTGGAGCCAGACGTAGTCTCAGTGGAACAACCGACGATTAGAGAGACTGAAGTTTTCGGTCTAGGCTAGACAAGAGAGTAGAGTAGAGACGGGAGTCGGCCGTACGCCGTCGGAGAGCTAACTCCAGTCCAGGGAGCTCCGCCACCGAAGTAGTCGGGCGGCGGAACTCCAGGAAACTCCGACGCCGACGCCGTTGGAGCTTCAGCGGGTGCATCTGAAAAAATTCAAACAGCGGGTTGGGCCACATTATCTTAAAATATGCAAAGGGAGTAATTACAATTTTGACTTAGATCTACTAGGTTGCTCATCTCCTCTGGGCGTCTGGCTGGTCACTTGAAATTATGATTTGAAGAAGTCTTCGATGGGAAAAAGCCAAAAAGGGGGTGATTCTTCGTCCTACCCCGACAATTCATCCATGCATGTTGTATCATTGATTCAATATGGCGAAGAGAAAGTACGCGCATGCATACTTTCTCTTCGCTATTATTATTTTCTTTAAAGGAGCCAGTTTTCGGCCACTTAATAGGGTGTCTGATCGCGCACCCGATGTTGTGTGCTAAAATACTTCCCATAGAGATTGCACGCATCCCTATGCAGTCTACGTGCATTGCGCGACCATGAAAATTGGTCAATGATTTTATGAAAAAAATTGAAATTCAAACCTTTGGGGCTTGTGATCCTGAAGGTAAAACTCAATAAATGAGGTGTCATATGAAAGAGCAGGTTTTTCTCCATATTCCCCAAAGGGGCGCACCCCCGAAATTCTCAAAATATCTTGGTCAAAACAGCGATTTAAATGTTGTTTGCATCCTAGCTCCAAAATTTGCCACTTTCCTGAGCTGCGCCCCCCGGGCTTATGTCCGGCTAGACGTAAGGAAAATATGTATGCACTTATTTTTTCGCTAGCCCCAAGAGATCACTCGCCCCAACAGTTTAAAAATACCCTTCCCACATTTTTGGAATCAGCTAATTAGGGAGGCGTGAGCTCCGCTCAGTCCAAACCATGGTTACATCGCGTAACATGTGCGCTTATAGTGAATGAAAGTATGGATGGCCGTTCCCACCATAAACCCCGGAAGTGAATACACGTTATAGTCAATGGCAATATCGCGGAGACATCTCCGCGATATTGCCATTGACTATAACGTGCTTTCACTTCCGGGTTTTTTGTGCGACGAACGCTAACCATACTAGTCAATGGCACGTGTCGCGGAGACAGCGTAGCTCAAGCTTGCAAGTCGCGCATTGGCTTAGCAGCATGCGTACGATATGCATACGCTTGCATATCGCGCGATACAGCTGTTTGGCTAAATTTAGCAAAACAACATCACTCTGCGTGGACGTCTTTTTCGTCGATTTTGACCAAAATGATATGAATATACCAGCATTTTGGAGGGGCTGTATCTTTTGATTGAAACATCGGTGAAGCTTCAAATTTGAAATGTATTATTCTGATTACACTTTTTATTCAAATATCAAACAAAAATGGTGAAAAACGATCCCAAATTGAAAATTGAAAAATCGTTCAGACACCCTACACTTAAGACAAAATCCTATTTTTTGGACTCTTTACTAGGCAAATTCATGCAAAAAATTATTTTCAAAAAATTGACTTGAAAACACATCAGACAATTAGTCTGAACCGAGTCAGGAGCAGATTTGAAGAAATTATATTTTTAAATGTTGTAAATCCAAAGATATAAGAAGAAAACTGACCAAGTATCTGTACTAAAAATCGTACATGTAAAATTGGTCGTACACATTCGACAGCTCTATAAATGACGCGCACGGTTGCGTTACGTTCTCGAATCCAAAATCATACCTCACACACACACACACTCTCACCATACCGCGAATGGTCCGTCGTGGGGAGCTAGCCGGCTGAGAGTTTGCAGCTATACCAACGCAGCTTCGGAGCTCCGCAGCGCGCCATTTTTTTTTTGGGAAGGCAGCGGCCTAGCTTTTTGCCCAAACAACGCTAGATCGGCTGCTGGCAAAATGAAAATAACTACGATCGAGAACATCGTCGGTTTCTTAACTTTTCAGTGAGATAATTCTGAATTCTAATTGAGACTATATAATAAATTAAATCGACAAAGAAACCTCGGTAGAACTCTTATAACTATACAAAAGCTTGTTTATTTCTTCATTTGACATTTTGTTTTTGACCATTTTTTCGTGCGCGAGTCAATGCAAACTATGTATTAACAAACTTTCAACACGCAAGGAACGGGGAACACTCGCGGACCTCGTATCAAATTCGTTGCAAAAAAAAAAATCAAGGGTGATTTTGAAGCAGTGAAGAATATTGGCGCTGCAATGCGCAGAAATATACTTGAAAGAAACTTAAAAAGTCATACCTGAATTTTCAGAAAATCGTATTTGTATTAGTGTACCTAGATGTGAATTGTTTATAACTCAGATTTTATGAAGATTTGTCGGGAAAAAATGTCAATTTTTTCCGTTTGGTGGTCATTTCTAGGCTAATATTTTAAAAGTTACTTCAGTAATGGTCCCGATGTTTCTCTTATCATACTCGCATGTTATTCCTACATAGATTAAACATAGGATGGTTAAGGGTAAGACCGGATAACATTATAAAAAAGATATATCCTTCCAACCTCCCATATCCAAGTTTTGGGCTGATTATTGCCGACCCACCGCAGCAAGGCCATTCAGATTTTCGTACGCGACCGAAGCGCCCTCTAGTGCCCCATGAATGTGCCTATCTTTACTTCCTATTTATTATCATTTCTTGTTCAAATCATGAAGCAAATATTATTATTATTTAAACAAAAAAAGAATCCCAGAAAAAAATCACGAATTGCCATGACAATATTCATTTCAATTTTCACTGTTTTGGAGCCAGTTATCGGCCGAGCGTTTCAGTTTATGGCCGCATGTACAAAGTCAATAGGAAGCGCTCGCGCGCGCCGTGCGTTTCCGCGCTGATGTACAGCACAAGCGGGTGGAGCAGGTATCCCACGCCGGAGCTCCCTGGTGCTCGCCTGGCCGAAGACAGGCACAGCGGTGATCGGAAGTTGGAATCTGAATTAGACAGACATATCGTGTGTGCGTTGCGGTGTGCGGCTGCATTGATTTAAAGGTGAAATTCAAAGAAAATCACAAATATGTCAACTAATGTATCACTAGAAACTGGTAAGCTAACAGATGGCCATCGTACAAGCTTTAGGTCAACTACATAGCGGGTGATGTATAAAAATACAAATACAACCACCTCCATAGCAGCTGGGATATACGAGAGATTCGCCGGAAAATAACGATGTTTTAATGACGTCACTATATGGACCAACACTGCCCAAGCAGACGACATCCCATAGAGAATGAACATAATTGCAAAGCTATTATTTCTCAAATTATAATGAGTTGAGTGTATACAAATGTAATGGCATGTCAAACCTTTCAAAAAGGGATATGACCCGATTCTGATAACTAAAATCTTTTGCTTGTAAATACACAGGATAGGGGTTAATTAACAATCAAAGAAACCAGACTCCCAAATTGAAAAAACCCCGGCATGATATTAAGGACGGCATTTGTTCCCTCTTGAAACGCCGAACATACCCCGGTGTGTGCAGCTGATTAAACAATGGCGTCTTATTTTGTTTACAAGCGACAGATTCCGTTAAATTTGTATCGCTGCATTTGTCATCAAAATAAAACCATGTGCAGGGTTGAGAGTGAGGTAATAGATTATACATTTAGCCTGACGGTAGTGAAGTAAGAGAAAGAACTCAAGAGAAGATGAAAACACAGGCACTGAAAATGTGTGAGATGTCATGGGGCATCGTCTGCTTGTGCAAGTCATGTCCATACTGTGATCTCACAAATCTCAGCAGCGTTCGGAGAGCTCTTTAGGTGCTATGCCGGGGCTGTATTTTAAGCGTTTTGTAATTTATAATAATCATTACTTCGAATGTTTCCAAGCATTGAATTTTGATAACCTTGACGAATCAATGTTTCAACTTTGCAATAATAAAAATAAAGTTAGTTTTTAAAATCAATGAATATCTACTTTAATACATGCGATGAGATACTTTTGAGCTTGCGACTAGCACAAAATCGGGCTCTAAATCTGAAAAATACTTGAAATAAAGCTCATTTTATGGTACCCATATTTCTTACAGACACGCGTAACATCGCTAAAATGTGATATTTTAGGATATATTTTTCATTGCAAATGTGGTTCTTCAGTGACACTGGCATGGTATGGTATGTGTGGGATATGTGTTATGCTATTATGCGATGTATTTTAGAGTAATTTTACCTTGCATCCAACCAATCGGCCGAAAACAGGAGCTGGCCGATTACCGGCTCCTTTACTCTAGTTAGATCTGGACAAAATGCGTTTTCTAAAATAACGATCCTCTGCATTTCGCGGACGTTTTTTCATCAGCAATCTGCGCAGGCAAAAAATTAAGTTTTTCATTTCGGGGGCTCCATTTCAAATTTTTTGGAAATTTTCGGGGGCTACTTTTTCAACTTTCGAGGGCTCTTTTTTCTGGGGCTACTTTTTCATTAATTCATAAAAGGATAAGCCTACAGTTTGTTGAGATTTGTTTAGTAGGCTAATGTTTCGGGCTTCCTGCTTCGTAATTGCCTATCAAAAAAGAAACCCCTTTTTCTAGTTCAATAACTAAGTTTTCATGCATTGATTTGATGCAAGAACTGTAACATAATAGACCCTAGATTGTGATTATTTCTGGCCATGAATTCCGATAATCATTTTTCAAAGTAAAATTTTCACAAGAAAATCAAACAGTCTTTTAAAAACGTAGACATTAGAGTCTAGTAATACTTTTACTAATTCTAAGCTCAGGTTTCGTAAATCTATTCACGAAACTATATTGAAATCGCGGCAATAATGATGCAAACCAACAGATAACAATTTCAAAGTGTCAAATCTCTTCGACTCGAGCTCAGCTCAATTCAACTCACACACTGCTGCATAACTGCAACGTAACTCCAGGAAACTGCAACACCGGCGCCGCAGGCGTCGGACGCCTGCGCTGCCGGTGTTGGAGCTTCCTGGAGTTAACTGCAACTCAGCTCAACTCACACACACTACACAGTGGCAATGCACTGTATTGTATGCGTGTCAGTCACGGTGATTTTGTCTGATTTTCTTTACTTTGAAGAAATGATTATCAAAATTACGTAAACATGGCGAGAACATCACAAAATAGGCCTTAATTTCATACCTCTATTTATGGAAACTTTATAATATTGCAGCAATCGTGAATTCGTGATGGAAATTGATTGCAGTTTCGCGATGTTTAGTGGTTCATTGTCTAGATTCAGCTTCTACAAAAACAAAATCGACCGCCAAAAACTCGAGCCCTACGCTCCATCTCGATCTCGCAACTGCGAAAATGTACGTGTTTTGGCGTACTTGCGTGCGACATGGTAAGCCAGGTAAGGTATGGAATATGGTTCGAGTTTTTTTACGACCGATTTTTGTGTATACAATTTTATACGGAGATTCAGCGCGCGGACCAAGAAATGCACGCAATGAATACGAAGCTAGAAGAGAGCGCGCGACCGCTCGTAATCGTTACGGGGGCGATTTGAGATCATTTCACTTTTTGATGTCGCCCCCGAAATCAGATTTTGAGCTTATTTCGGGGGCTGTTTATGGTCTTTCCGGGGCGAATCCGCCCTCCGCCCCCGTGTATTTTTTTGGCTGGATCTGCGGGTTTTATGTTTCCGAACCGCCCGCTGGCGATTAGAAAAATGGATTCTGCGGAAGAAAATAACCCTAGTTCACCATCTACTTTTATGGGTTGTCCGTCTTCCCGAGGATTTATCGCTCATAATGTGAAAGTCTCTGTACAAAGTCAATGTAAAATGCATCAAGAAAATCATCACGGAATCAATTTTTGCATCGGCAACGCGCCGATCAAAAATTTGAAACGTATGCGAAAATGCGGAAGATCCTTATTTTTGAGGACTCATGGGTCTGCGTTTACAAAGACAATACTCGTTAAATGCAGACAATCCTTATTCTCAGACCAGCGCCCCTACTGTACAAAGAAAAAAAACATGGCGGCCGTGTATACAAGTACTATGAGAGATTGTAGCCGTGTGGATGGCAAATGTACAAGTACATTTGTGTACTCCCTTGCAGCCTTGGTTAGAAGCGGACATGACAAACAAAGTTACCTACCAACAAGGCAGTATATGCGGTCTAGCTGACGAGTACACATGAAATAAAGCAAGATGATTCCAGCAGGGGAGAGGCTGTATGGTGCCTTTCACCCTTCCTACAATCCTTGCAAGATTAAATCCAGTGGTTTATTGAGAACCTTGGTATCCAGTAAATGTTACCAAGAGGTTCAAACCTCTGACATTGATAACAGAAATAAAACAAATTTTGCTGCTTTTACAACCTTGTATCAATGTTTATAAGTTTACAACCTTGTATTGATTTATATATGTAAGTTTACCTCACATGTATTTGAGCTAATGTTTTACAACCTATTCAATTTTGTTTTATTTTGACAATATACAATATACGTATTCCTGATCTATATGTATCCTGTTACAAATTATTTATGTTATGAACTATAAATAAACTTAATAAAGGAATTAAATTTGATAAAATTTGCCAACCTTCCCACTCTCTCTTGCTCACTCAATGTCTCTCTCTCTCTCTCTCTCCCTCACCCCCCCTCTCTCTCTCTGTCTCTCTCACTCTCACTCACTCAATGTTTGTTGTCTTGTTCACTCCCTCTTCAGCATGATGAAAAGGACATCGTCAATGCCGCCATCCAGTCTACCTCGAGGATCTTCTGTCATCTCCTGGCCGAGGATGAGATGATCCCAGCCCCTGGTGTGTCGGGTAGCAAGGAGAAGTATCGGCTCTGGTTGCAGGCCAGGTACAACGATGCCATCAGGTGCCTCTGCAATGTGGTGGGGACGTTTGTGACGGTACCCGTATTGCAGGTAGGTCATCTTTGAGATACGATGGTTCATCAAGGTTTTATAGATGTGGAATGTGTGAGAGAGAGAAAGGGAGAGGAAAGGAAAGGAAAGGAAGATATAAAGGAGTAGAGAGAGAGAAAGGAAGTAGAGCAGAAGAAAGAAAAGGAAACATAAAGAGAGGAGGAATATAGACAAGAACAACTGAAGATTGGAGAACAGAAAAAAAAAGAGGAAGGGAACAGAGAGAAAGTAGAGGAAGGAGAGAAGAGAGTCAAGATATTTGATCAACAAGAACAAAACTGTTTAGTTAGTAAAGAGAAAGAGGAAGAGAATGAAAACAAGTATATGAGAAAGTGAGGAACTGAAAATAGAGGAAATATATTAGAAAAGAGAAGGGGAAAAAGAAGGAGAAGGGAAAAAGAACAAAAAAAGGAAAAAAATAATGACAGAAAGGAGATGTTGATGTAGAGAAAATAAAAATAGAGCAGAGGAAGAGAAATGGTTATAAGAAAACAACGAACTAAATGCAATTCATTTAGCGCTTAGAGACTTCGGTGGTAAGTGCTTTTTAAGTAACGTTTTTATTATATTAATTCATGAAAGTGATAGAATCTGAAAGAGAGAGAGTCGTTGGTGTTTTTTGTCTTTTGATAAGGAAGCTAACTGAACTTGCATGCAATTTCTCTTTCTCTTTTTGTTGTCGGTGCAGTGCAGATCGGTAGATTTTCTTAACAATGCTCCCGCTTAAACATTCAGGAATCCTATATATTTCATTGATCAAGATTATCACGTTTTTTGTGTTTTATTTCTGTTACAGGAGCTTGCTTTGAGAACACTGATGAAGTTTGTGGCAGAAGAATCAAAGCATCCTTTTAAAAAGGAGGGCTCATCTTCAAACTACTTCTTTCCCATTCATATTATTGCTGTGAGTATATCCCTTCTATTTGTTTGAACATCGTTATTAATTAACATCAAGATGAAGGAATTGTACCCCCCCCCCCCAATTTTTTTATTTAATCAACTTTTTGTAAACTGAAAGTACATCGCAGACGTTTTTGTATCCATACATTAAAACTGGGAACTGCTGTGGATTTCACACAAGATTATTGCTGCATTGATATGTGACCATTTCTTGTGTTACAGTACTTTTACCAATATTCAATCTTACCATATGAATATTAATATGATACCTTATTGTCTAAATTCTTTATTTGTGTCACCTTTAACAGCTTTTGGTGCCACAGCTACTTTCAAAGACTGTAGTGTTCAGTGAGCTGATTGGTCGGTGTAAGGAATATATGGAGTATGATGATGTCAGATACCATGTATTGCAACACGTTCAACATCGTATATCAAAGCAAGCCAAAGAAAAACTCAACCCGGTAAGAAATAGATTATGTACATGCCTTCAAATAAGACGGAGTAATTTTTCAAGGCATAGTTGAGCTTTAACAATTTTTTGTTTTCATTACAGTTCTATACATTTTAGAGTGATACTTACATTTAAATAATTGTATTATAGAAACTTGTCGCATATCACTGATCTGCTTGGCTATCCGTAATGTACAGATTAATCAGGTAGTTAACATGTGAAAACTAGCCTACTGTGTGTTCTATCAAAGAATGAAATTATAAAAAAGGTGTATTTATAAACCAGAACCCCGTCATATAAAGAGTTGTAATTGATACGAATCAATCAAAGTCCTCTAATCGATCGCAAGTTTGCAACTCTTATAAGAAGAGGCCCAGATCATCCATAGGAAATGTTTGATGTGATAAATATAGATATTTTAGACACTTATGCATAAGACAAAAAACATTTTCACAAAAGAGTATATGCAATTTCATTAATTTTGTGTATAAACAGATTATCTGTGTAAGATCTTCAATATCAAATAAGCATATCAGATGATTTATGAGCCCCTCCTAGTAGCTACGTATGTTTAGTATGTATGTTTAGTTTGTGATAAATAATGCAAGATGATTCCAGCAGGGGAGAGGCTGTATGGTGCCTTTCACCCTTCCTACAATCCTTGCGAGATTAAACCCAGTGGTTTATTGAGAACCTTGGTATCCAGTCAATGTTACCAAGAGGTTCAAACCTCTGACATTGATATGAGAAATGAAACAAATTTTGCTGCTTTTAAAACCTTGCATTGATTTTTCAACAATAATAAAAACAAGTATTCCTGATGTATATGTATCATGTTACAAGTTATGGTATGCATTACTATTACATTTGTATGTACGTCTCTCCTAGAGAGTAAGATTTAAAAATATTTAAAAAATTGACTCTGATCAATACCTTTTATCTCATTGCTCATTGCATATTAGATGGAGATGACAACCCTGTGTAACAACACTGTGAATCTCTTGCATACAGTAACCATGCCAACGGATGAGGAGAGCATCAACAACTTTCTGGGCATGATTCCTGATCCAGACGAAGGAGGGAAGATTATGAACCTCAAAGTGAGAAGCATTAAAATTCATGTGAACTAGGACTTAATAAAGATATATTTGATTACCTGAAGATAAACTTGAGTTCTGGTAAAAAAAAAGAAAAGGAATTCTCACAGAATCAAACGAAACTTACACTGAATGTTCAAGACTACAAATAAATGTCATCTGCCAAACAATTTTAGTAGAAAATGTATACTAGCTGAGTAATGAGCATAGAAAGATAAGGAAATCAAGGTAAGTAGCCCCGACACCATTTGTGTAGTCCCATATACATCTTTCTGTGTACAGTACTTGTTACTTGACCAAGACTGGGCCAAATTGATTATGATTTTGATGACTCAATAACCTTGCAGTGCACACCAATACTTACATGCTACATGATCAACTTTTTTTTGATCCATTCCACACCTTTTCTCTCACCATGCAATCGCCTGCCCAGAACTCAACTTTATCTTTAAGATAAAATGGAAACGATGATGATGATTCACAGCATTTGTATGGCGCCATATATCTCTTTAAAAAAACATTCAAAGGCGCAAGCTCCTCTAATAAAGTTGGCATTTAAATCCAACCTTACAGCAATTAGGTCTGAAAGAAAGCTGACAAATAAGAGAAGAAGATTTAGTTGTCAACTGTTAGTAGTTGCATTCTTACAGGATATTCAAATGACACCTGTTCGGTCTAGGCAGTATAATGTTTTGTTTTGTTTGTGATGAAATAATGCAAGATGATTCCAGCAGGGGAGAGGCTGTATGGTGCCTTTCACCCTTCCTACAATCCTTGCAAGATTAAATCCAGTGGTTTATTGAGAACCTTGGTATCCAGTCAATGTTACCAAGAGGTTCAAACTTCTGACATTAGTTAATGTACCGGTAATGTCTATATTGTCAATATTTTGCTTTTAATTACTGAAGATTTTACTTTTGGGGTTGTAGAAAAAGGGGACCAGCCTAGATAGGTCAATCGCCTTTTCTGGTCCCTCACATCCCTACTCCACCCATTAATCATTTTTAGTGTTACTGTTGTTTTATTTGTTCTTATTATATTTTTATATATATTGCATTTTGTATAATTGTATTCTGCATGTTATAATGCTGTAAGTTTTTTATTGGATGTGAAATAAACTGAACTTGAACTTGAACTTGACATTGATATAAGAAATAAAACAAATTTGGATGCTTTTGAAAACCTTGCATTGATGTATGTTAGTTTACCTCACATGGTAATATTTGAGCTAATATTTTACAACCTTTCAGATTTTGTTTAATTTTTCGACAATATATAATAAACATATTCTAATGTATTTGTATCACGTTACAAGTTATTGTTTGCATTACTATTGTGTACGTCTCTCATAGAGAGATAGTATGTTGATTTAGATATGCACTAAAATACATTATGCTTAGATTTGTAAGAAATCCAGGTCATAAAATTATGATATACATCTCATTTGTACACTGGACTGATTGGCCCATACGTATAAAACCTTGCTCAACCTAATTGCGTATGTTATGATAAGTATTTAGTTTGCAACTAGGCCTAGTGATGTTTTATGAATATACTAGAGATATTGCTTGCACTTGTAATCAATCAATTGATCACAATATCTTTGTAGAAAAATAATATTCTATTTTTTCCCATCTGAACAATCCATTTGCTTCTGAACCATCGCAGAGTCTTCACCCATCGCTTGGCTATCCTTACGGTTTCCCTGTTGCAATAATCTTAAAAGAAATATATTCTTTTCCTCTCCCAACTGATTAATCCATTTTTTCTGAACCATGTCACCTTAGGAGCATCGCAGAGTCTTCACCAACGCTTGGCTGGCTTTCCTGAGGTTTCCCCTCCCTAACTCGGTCTACAAACAGATTCTCATTAATATCCACGAGAATGTGATGCCTCACATGACGACACCCCTCCATCTCACTGATTTCCTCACAGCGTCTTATGATATAGGTTGGTATTGACTTACTTTTTAAATTGATTTTGCCAGGAAGAGGGAGGGCAGACCTGCCAACCAGTACGATATAGTCGTATTTCGTACAAATTTTAGAAGCAAATACGACAGTACGATTTAACTTTTAAAATTTTTGTTTTTTTGTTTTAAATAATATTTTTAATAATTTGTTTAATTTTAAATAGTATTATGTGTGTGTGTGTGTGTATGCCATTTTCAATGGTAAAATGCCAATTCTGTCCTGAAAAGTATCCCACAAGCATCTCACATAGGCAATTTGGGGATGTTCATTGGTTCAACGAACACACCAGTCGTAATGAAATCATGCTTATTCAACCGATGATCCTTAAAAAAAATTCTTTCTGTAAGTAGGAACTGTACGAGGCATTGATCCGCGTAACAGTCCGTGTTTATTTTTAAGAATACAACTTTTGTCAGTAAAATACAACTTTTGGGATTAAAGAATACAGTTTTTGAACTCCAGAGGTTGGCAGGTCTGGGAAGGGGGGGGGGGGGGGGAATTTTTTCCTGAAGTTTTTGTAAGTTTCAGAACTCCAAAAAGTATTTAAGGTTCATTTTTCCTGAGGATTTGTAATTACGAATATAAAACAGGTGTGTTTCTGCATTACAAACCTTTGGAGTGATGATATTTAAATCTTCAGAAATGTTGAACTCTTAGACAAAGCAATTTGTAGCCGTTGACAATGAAGATGTCTCATATACTGTAGTATAATGAGTTTGATTAGAAGATATTTTATTGGTTACTGTGTGGAATTTACTTATCAGTGCAAAAAAGAACAATTGAAATATTCTATACCAGAAATAGAGAATAAATTTTCTGCCAAATGTATGTTTAATTTTTGCATGACAATTGCATAGTGATTATGACTGCTTATTAGCTCTGCACAATTCTATGTGGAAACATTCACATTTGTACAAGTACTATTTATTTTATTTCGTTATTCAGGTGGAGCTATTAGTCTGCTTGCTTTGAATGGCCTCTTCATTCTCATCAATCAGTATAATCTGTAAGTATTCATTCTTGCTTCATGAACATCCCTTTATGTGGACCTCCTTGCTTTTATTCTTTCATGGAGTTGTTTTAAAGCCTGTCTGTACTAGTTTGGCCAGGAGAGATTAGACCACCCAGCGTGGTTGCTGACAGGTGATTATCTCATCAACTCAGCTCTCAATTAATATAATAAAAAGAGGATCATGGGGGACCAACAGACACCGTCTAGGCATTGTTTTCTGTATAGAGAGAGCAAGTAGCTACAAATAGTGCAGTGAGGCTTTAACCAAATGAATAATGGATCTAAAGTGCAAGAACATGGATGTGAAGCATTATTTTCCTACATGTATTAAATTGTTGATCTTTTTTATGGTCAGAGTGTGGCACATTTTTGAAAGTCATTTGAGAAGTTGTGTTGTTTTGAAGTTGCAGTCAGTGGATTTGAAATAAGAATTTAGTCGACAAATTCTTTATCAGATCGATGGAGTACCTGTACATTATCTCTTTGTTATTGTAAATGACATATTGATGGGTTGTTTCGCATTGTGTGATTTGTTTGATTATTTTGTAGAGAGTATCCTGATTTCTTCACCAAGCTGTATGCCATGTTTGAGCCCTCTCTCTTCCATGTCAAGTACAAGGCCAGGTTCTTTCATCTTGCGGACATGTTCTTATCTTCAACGTAAGTGGAACTGAGGATTTAAGATTTTATTTGGTTGTGAAATACAGAAGAAATAGTGCATATTCATGTTAAGATGGGGACAATATATGTGTCAATAGCTTATTGAGAAATTGTAGCTGTTATAAAACTGCTTGTGTTGTGCTGTAAAACATCATTATCTTGTGGAAGAATGGTCTCAAAAATTCTTCTAAACCGCTGGCATGTCCGTTTCATTTAAGTGATTTTGATATATTCATCTGGAAAATCATTGATATTTCTTTTATCCTTTAGTGTGTACATGACCATATGCACACTAAAGGATAAACAAGGAGAAAACATCAGTGACACAAAGACGTAACTCTGTATTTTACCCAAATGAGTATTTAATATCAAAATGTTCAGAAAAATGTGGGCTTTCCAGGAAACACAAAGACTTAACTCCACCCAACACCCCATTGAAGTCAATGGCTAGAGAAACATAGACTTAACTCCTTAAGGACCAAGTGCTCAGTGAAACATAAACCACTTTTTCTCATAATGGAGTTTTGTCTTTGTGTCACTGACCCCTCGACATGAACAATAACAATCGAACTGATTGGGTTTCAGTGATTTCTTCTATGGTTATATTTTTATGCCTCCGTTACGAAGTAGCCGGAGGCATTATGTTTTCGGGTTGTCCGTACGTACGTACGTCTGTACGTACGTCCCGTTCTTGTGATCACGTTATCTGAAGAACCGATTGATGGATTCCTGCCAAACTTTGGTCATGTATGTATCTTGCAGAGCCGATAAACTGATTAGATTTTGGGGTCACGAGGTCAAAGGTCAAAGGTCACAGGGCTCATTAGGTATGCAAAAACAGCTCGTGATCGCGTTATCTGAAGAACCGATTGATGGATTCCTGCCAAACTTTGGTCATGTATGTATCTTGCAGAGCCAATGAACTGAGTAGATTTTGGGGTCATGAGGTTAAAGATCACAGGTCACAGGGCTCATTATGTATGCATAAACAGCTTGTGATCGCGTTATCTCAAGAACCGATTGATGGATTGCTGCCAAACTTAGGTCATGTATGTTACTTGCAGAGCCGATGAACTGATTAGATTTAGTGGTCATGAGGTCAAAGGTCATAGGCCACAGCACACATTATGTATGCAATAACAGCTTGTGATCGCGTTATCTCAAGAACCGATTGATGGATTCCTGCCAAAATTAGGTCATGTATGTTACTTGCAGAGCCAATGAACTGAGTAGATTCTTGGTTCATAAGGTCAAAGGTCAAAGATCATGGGCTCATTATGTATGCAAAAATAGCTTGTGAATGCATTCTCATTAGAACTGACAGATGGATTACTATTTAACTCAGGACATCTTGCAGAGCCAATGAACTGAGTAGATTTTAGGGTCATGAGGTCAAAGATCAAAGGGTCATATATGTATATGAGAAATTGCTTGTAATCACGATATTCTGAGAACCTGTCAATGGATTACAATTGAACTTGAATCCGAAAAATTTCTTCTGTTTTGGTTTGTAAAATTGCTCTATGACGGAGGCATCATTTTTAACTGCGCGCAGTCGAATTCCATCTAGTTTCATATGATTGTGGAAAATCTGTTTCTTTATTCTCTGTCCAGGCATTTACCTTCATATGTTGTGGCGGCCTTTGCAAAGAGGTTATCAAGGCTCTCATTAACAGCGCCCCCACATGCCCTAATGATGCTCATTCCGTTTGTTTGTAATCTTCTGATGAGACATCCGAACTGTAAGGTGCTGGTACACAGGCCTCATGGCCCCAGGGGTGAGTCATCGTTAGAATTCGTTATCAGACAGCTTATAATTAAAAGGACTTGGTAACATTGTTCAGATGAGAGATATTGGTGCTAAGGTAGTGACTTCAATGATAGATGTACAATTAAAGATAATCTGAAAATTTGAGTGAAAACGAACCATTATTAATAAAACAAATTGGGAAAAACTGATCTGATCAATTCCTTAATTCTCCCAACTATATTATTACAATTTAATTACATTTTAGGTGAATGTAAATCGTCACAAAGCAATAAATTGACTCTACATACCATTCCAGACATTTAAGAGTTGACAGATTTTTAATAGCCTGTTTTATGTCTTTTTTTCATGGAAAATGGTTGGGAGAATTTACAGTTAATCACTCTTAGAGGGTTTTGACAGTGACGCCTTCAAGGAAAACCATAGATTTCTTTGTGGTTTGAGAATTTTATCAGGATTTTTTGCATGTCAGAGGGTTAGTTCAGTAAAAGGAATAAAGTAAATAACATTTTATAGAAGCAGTTTTTTCATCTAACTTCAGCAATCTTACTGAGTCACTTTGACAATGTTAAATCTGAGATGCGTGGCCCTACGTGTTATCAGTGTCTGTGATATGGTGTTATATTGAAGCCCTAAAAAATGGCACTTCAATGTTATCATGAAGTGTCTCAAAAAAGTAAAACTCTTTGAGTGACCCATTTTTCCCAATAGACTGTAGTATTATAACAAAAAACATTAGGAAAACAAATGTTTAAATTTCTATTTCCAATCGTAAATATCTTGATAATCAGACAGGCGATCTGCTTGTAAAAGTCATGGGGTTCCTGACTGACCTAAAGGTTTATAATTATGCATTGCAGCATGAGCTAAATCCAGGATTTTGTTTCAGAATCGGAGACAAAGTTACCCAATCCCTTTAAAAGTTCCCTGTAGGAAAGCAATAAATTGAAACAATGATTTGATTTCCCTTTATACTTTAATCAACCTCTTCCTAATTCCTAAAAAAACAACCACTCTCGCTGCCACTCCAAAACTGTCTGATGACCCTTACAAGGTGGCTGAACCTGACCTATTTAAAGCCCCACTGCACTACTTGTAGCTACTAGCTCCCTCTATATAGAAAACAATGCCTAAGTGGTGTCTGTTGGTCCCCGATGATCCTCTTTTTTCTAACCACCTGTCAGTGACCAAGCTGGGTGGTCCAATCCCTCCTGGCCAAACTGGTGCAGAGGGAATTTAAGTGCAATGCCCTTGAAAGCTCCTTGTGGGAAATCCAGATATTGAAGTCACACTATCCCCCTAACGATTAATTAAAGATTTCTAACTCTTGAACAACTTCTCGTTCTCGTTCTCCAGAGCTCTCTGATGACCCTTACAAGATGGATGAGCCTAACCCAGCCAAGTGCAATGCCCTTGAGAGCTCCCTGTGGGAGATCCAAACACTGAAGTCCCACTATGACCCTGGTGTGTCTAGGAGTGCAGCAAACATTGAGAAACCTTTCCCCAAAGTAGAATGGGACCTGGACCTGGACCTCACCATACCCCAGGTAATCCATCTTTTCCATTCCTTTGATAATAATAATAATAATAATAATATTCTGCTTATATAGCGCTTTAATAATACAATGTAACTAAGCGCTTTACAGATATACTGTTACCCCGGTCATTGGATTCAGTGCTTGCCCGCACACACTGTGTGCACAATCTCCACTCCCCGGAGAGCATTCGAGCCAGGCGTTACTTGACGCTAAAAACCTGTTTGACCAACAATGACGGTCGCATCCTACCAAGAATTTGAATACAATATGTTTGGATAAAGGACAGCTAGCTTTCTTCCTGTAAGTGAAATAGATGCATGCATGCATTGAAATGTTCATTTGAAAGATGTGTTATGAACGTATTTATGTAGTCCCATATGTGTATATCTATGTGTATCTCATATCTTGACAAGAGTAGGTCCCCTCAAGATCAAAACATGTTTTTTGTGATTTGTACACTTCAAAAGTACTCCCATAACAAGAACTCAGGATTACCCTAAACTTTTGCACAGTGTTTATTTTTCATTATGCCAGAATTTTATAAAGTAATCATTGTGTGTCTGTTTACTCTTTAGATGGTTTTGCACAGTGTTCGATTTTCGTCATGCCAGAATTTTATAGAGTAATCATTGTGTGTCTGTTTACTCTTTAGATGGTTTTGCACAGTGTTCGATTTTCATCATGCCAGAATTTTATAGAGTAATCATTGTGTGTCTGTTTACTCTTTAGATGGTTTTGCACAGTGTTCGATTTTCGTCATGCCAGAATTTTATACAGTTATCATTGTGTGTCTGTTTACTATTTAGATGGTTGCTAAGGAAACCAAGAAGAAGATGAAGACGATGCCCCTGGAGTTTGAACCAGCCAAAGGTCTACTAGGAGGAGGAGGTCAGGACATGTTTGATGCCAGGTTCTGGGTGGTTTGATCAACTACAGTAAAACCTGCTTTAGTGACCACCTGTCTACAAAGACCACCTGTCAACAAGGACCACATTTTTTCCCCCTTGAAAATGATTTCTCATTGAAACATGTAGTAAAGGAACCTGTCTAGAAAGACCCTGTCTATAAAGACCACTTTTTGTGTTTCCCTTGGGCAGTCGTTATAGACAGGTTTGACTGTACATGCAAGGGAACATTCATACTTTGGTGAAGGCTCTTGGCGCTCACATAAGAGCCTTTAGAGGTCCCAAGTTTGCTCCTTGCTTAAAGGCATTGTTTCCCAATGTTAAATCTGAGATGTACGGCCCTACGTGTTATCAGTGTCTGTGATATGGTGTAATATTGAAGCCCTAACAAAATTGCGCTTCAAAAGGAACACGAAGTGCCTCAAAAAAGTAACAAATCTTTGAGTGACTGGTTTTACCATACTCATTTTCTCTGATAGACTGTCGTGTTATTAAAGCTGTTAGGAAAAGAGCATCAAATTACATGGTGCACAAAACCTCCACAAATTATCAGGAGGCCGTGTCACAGTAGCCACATGACTTTCAGTCAAGCAGTTTAGGGTTAGAATCTCACTCTGCCACTAACTTCCATTGTATGGACATTGCCAATCTCGACCAGGTGTAAATGGGTACCTGATATCTTTGGTATTGGCCAGGTGGCTCACACCAGAATAATAATATTGGAGCAATCTGAGCATAGGATGCACAAATTTTACTGTGCTTCTCTGGACAAAGACAGTTGTAACTGCGTTTCCTTTTATTTCCTGTTTTTCTTTTTATTTAATGGCACCAGTTATATGTTGAGCAAAAGTTTTAGATACTATGGTTGTAAAAGTCTCGATATTCCCTTTTTATCCTTTCGCCCACTAAAGGTAATGGGGGAGCGAATATTCAGTCTAACAATTAGATTCATTAGCATAATATATGTCTGCATGTTTTACCAAGTGCTAATAGGTTGTTACCCTAACTCACAACATGTATGTTCACCAAACATGACTTGTACAAAATACAAGAGATTCAGCAGAGTTCATTTAAAACCCCAAGCATATGATTTATTCAAAAATAATTTGATTCTGATATTTCATTACAAATGTTATATAGATATAAAATGTCATTCCCTTGATTTCCATGTACATGTATATTTTTCTTATCGTATGTCTGAGTACCTATGTACATATAAAATGGTAGCAGGAAACATGGTATACACAGTTTTAAACTTTGGGCTTCCTGACATCACACTTCATTTGGTTGGAAGCAGAAATTGTTGTGTAAAAGTGAACCTGAAACATATTTTATGTGTATAGAGAAAGGGAGAGAGGGGGAAGGGAGGAGAGAGAGGGAAGAGAGAGGGAGAACAGAAAGAGGAGAGAGAGAGGGGGGGGGGGGGAGTAGAGACAGACAGAGGGAAAGAGACAAAGAGAGGGAGAGGAACAACAAAAGGGGGAGGGAGGGGGAGAGAAAGGAACAGTCAGAGAGGAGAAGTGACAGAGAGTGAGTGGACAAGGAAGAGAGAGACTGAGTAAAAAGACAGATAATCATAACAATCAATCAATCAAATTGCTCTCTTTAAAATAAAAATTAAGTAAAACCTAGCATAGATTTAAAATAATGATAATGATAATTTGAGCATTCTATGTTTCTAAATAGCGAACTGAGGGTGCAACTTTGTAATGTAACAGTTAATTTCAGAACACATTTGCTTCATTTCAAATTTCAATAGTAAACTTGTAATTTGATATATTAAACCTGCTGATTGTGAATATCGGGCAAAGAAGCCCCAGTAAAATTGTGTGATTTCCTCATTTTGAGACATTACCATTATTCTGTACAAACATGTACCATCAGTTGTGATTTCAAATAGTTCGTTAGTGACACCATGTCTTTTTCTGTAACAAAAAACATTACTCTTGATTATTAAATCAACACCTTAAAAACAACACCTTAGAAACACCTACGTAAAAAACAATTTGAGAAGTAACAAAATGACGGACTCAAAAAACTTAAATCTGACAGTTTCATATGCATATTTACAGCTACATGTACCATGTTATAATGATAAATCTGTATACTATATATGGAAGAGCTACTCGGCCAGATGCATTTACCTTCTAATACCATTTGTTCTCTTTTCTTAATGTCTTTTTTTCCTTATACCAATAGAATAATGAATGCAAAACAACTTCCTTGGCTGAATCTGGTTATTTGGAAAACAAGTGCAGTACAAAATAAACTTAAAATTAGTTACTGGATTTCAAGTATTTACTCAATTTAGTGAACGGTTTTATTCCGTTCACTACACTTGTAATTCATATGAACACATGCATTAATAGCATAGATTTTAAAGAAAGGAGAGCTGTAATGTCAGAAAGTTTTAAAAACACTTCTTGGGTTTGTATGCTGCATTAGCTATCTACACAGGAATGACTCCAAACCCATCTACTCATTGGCTACGTTTTAAACACTTATACATTTATGGTAAACTGATTAGATAGTTTATATGAGATTACATTATCAATCTATGAGGATTTCCTCATTAATAGGAGGGAAACTGATTGTATATACTACATGAAAGACTGATTACTTCATGTATTGCATAGATCACCGGACTATAAACCTGATCCACTTGAAAGACACAACAATATTTATAATTAGCATTGCAGCTCCATTAAGATGATTATAAAAGTACACATAATATTTTTGATATACAATAAGTAAGTGATAAGATGCGGTAAAAGAAAAATAACACTCTAACATGACATGAATATTTCTTGTGATCGTTGAAAAAAATTTCAGTTACTTGCCCTTCAAAACACAACACTACATCTACTGATACTAACAGAAATCATTTTTTTATCAAATACTAATCATTTCAGTGGAATAGCATTCTTTATAATCGAAGCATAGAAAAATACAATATACATGTATTACCCTTAGAAACATTTGCAGGAAAAGTCAATACAAAATTGAAGTGCATGCAGGGCCCTGTTACACAAAGCTAGCAGTTGATTGATCGTGCAATCAACTGATTGTAAATCATGGTCAGTTGCAAAACAGCAATCGATTGCTAACTTATTTATGTGTTGCGGGGGCCCAGATGCTATCAAACAACATGAGACCATTATGACAAGAGAAATATACAAAACTACGTGTAATTTAAGTAAGGCTCCTTACTTATTTCTAGAATAAACACTGTCACAAAATCTCGGTTACAAAGAGTTTTTAAGAGAATTGTCTTGATCATTATAGGTGCGATATCCAAGATACTAACACATCATGAAAAATCAGAAGATTCCATTGAATTTCTTCTACACAAATTTACTTGTGCCGGTAGGCATTACAGTTACCGAAATGAACCATTCCAAAAGATAATAATCAAAATGAAGTAGGAAAGGAATTCTGAAGATTATCATTATATTCATCTATTATTTTTTCTTTTTTTCTTGGGGGCCGGATGCTCTCAAATGTGCTCTATGATCTGTAAATTACTTCATTGTGAAAGAAAATGATTCTTAAAAAGATATCTTTTAAGCCAGTGGCTCTTTATCCCCTTTTGGGCTGCTGAGGTTGCATGTACAAGCCACGATGAAGAGCAGGATAACAATGAGGAGAGCGATGACGGCGATGATGACGATCCACCAGACCGGAAGTAGAAGATCATCAGTAAATGTGTCGTTGGGGTCTGTTCCTAAAAATAGGGATAAATACATAGTACATGTATTAAACAGGGAACGTCAATGAGGCAAATAGTGTCAGTCTCTGGGGTCTTGTGACAACTTCTTCAAAGGGACTTGGTAACATTGTTCAGATGAGAGAAAATGGTGCTAAGGTAGTGGCTTTAATGCTAGACGTACAATTAAAGATAATCTGAAAGTTTGAGTGAAAAACAGACCAGTATTAATGATAAAAATTTGTAAAAACTGATCTGATCCATTCCTAATTTTCCTAACTATATTATTACAATTTAATTATATTTTAGGTGCATGTAAATCGTCACAAAGCAATGAATTGGCTCTATATACCATTCCAGACATTTAAGTGTTGAAACAGTTTTTAAAGCCTGTCATATGTCTTATTTCTAGGGGGAAAGGGTTGGGGAAAATTCAATAATGGTTGGGAGAATTTACTGTTTATCACTGTTAGAGGGTGTTGCACAGTGATGCCTTCAAAGAAAACCATAAATATCTTTGTGGTTTGAGATTTTTGTTCAGGATTTTTTTTTCCTGTAAGAGGGTAAGTACAGTAGAAGGAATATAATAAGTAACATTTCATACAAAAATTACATTTTTTTCATCAACCTTCAACAATGTTACTGGTTCACTAGAAGTACAGCCCAAAAGACCAACAGCTTACAAGTGGACACTCAAAAATGTTGTTACAAGTAAGGGGCACAAGACCAAGAACTTTTTAAGCTTTTCATTCGTATAACAGCTTAAGAGACTGCCAGTATGGGTCTGTTGAAAAATATGGCCATTTTTTAGAGGGTTCACTAGACTATATTAGCCATGATTTTCAGGTGTTGTTTGTGAATAGGCAGTCAATGGCTAATTCTATGCCCACATTTTTTTTGACCAATCAAAGCATTAGAACATAGATCTGAAGAACTCTATCGTAAAAATACTCATTTGTTTACAGACTAGAGAATATTGATTACAAAAAACGTTGATGTACTGAATTGAAAGTAGAATAAATGCAGCAAAGATTTGTGTAATGACAGTGAGATATCAACGGATTATGGTTTTGCAACTTTGATTACATCTGAAAAAGGAAAATTCTCAGCCCAGCGGCTGTAAAGCAATCGGGATAATTGAGTGTCGATACAATGCTTTACGTTATTACCAATAGTGCATCTGAGTCCGGTGAAGCCATTCTGACAGTTACAAGCGTAACTGCCCAAAGTTGTGATGCAATCGCCATTATTCATACATGGGTTATCTAGGCCGCACAGGTCAATTTCTGTGATTTGATAGTAGAAATACAATAAGAGATATCAACAGACATTCATGATGGGTCACATAAATTAGAGAGAGAGAGAGAGCAAGAAAGAGAGGTTGGAGGGAGGGGGAGGGAGGGGAGTGGGGAGGAAAAGACAGACAGAAAGAGATAGGGAGGGAGAACGGGAGAAGGGGCACAACAACAAAAAAAGAAGAGAGAGGCGGGTAGGCAAGACTAGATATAAATTACCCTAAGACACTACAACCATGATATACATCATAAACTGAAAATAAGCAGTTAAAGGAAGGAAGTTTACTGCAATGTTCTTTATGATCAAAATCACATCAAAGGTACTTACAGTACCCGTTGTATTGCCTATACCGGTAGAAATGTAAAGAAATCAGTTTCATATTAGGTAATATCTCATTGTAATGTGAATACATTTCAATAGGTGATACGTTGGGCTATTTAATTGATCTTAGGTTGATTCTCAAAATAATCCTAGTATTCTTCACTATTCATCGGAAGGCAAATTTCAAGGTTTGAATAAATTGAGACAGAGATGGAAGTTTATGCTGGTTCTGACCAAAATGCTTATTACATGTACCTGATTCACAGTAATCTCCTTCGTAACCATCGTCACAGTCACACTTGGCATTCAGGCACATTCCATTGACACAATTCATACCATTCAGGCATGCTAGAGAAGAAACAAGAAATAAGAGAGATCAAACTAAAATAAAAATATCTTGTGTCAAATGAAAACAATCAAGAAGAGAGAAAATGTATATTTGTACAAAAACACAAATATTTGAGAATATCTCGCGTCAAAGATGCTTGAAAAGAGAAAAGAGAGAAAACTATACCAATTAACTAACAACACGGTTATCTTAATATGTCTTTTAGATGGCCGTTTTTCGAAACTCTCATTTTATATCTAACTTATTGAATATCCTATTGAAACATGAGTAACTAGACTTAAGACGGTTTGGAGAAACTAGCAGCAGCTGTCTGAATATACAGGAGTGGAAATCCACTTTTAGGGGGTTGTAATTGCGGAGCACTTCTTTTGGAGTGGAATCTATCAAAATGCAATCAACTCATCTAATCACAATTAATCAACTCCAAATTTGGAGTTCGATTCAGTCCAAAGAAAATGATCCTTTGTTAAAAAAGTGGGTACGTAGAGGTCTAGATAGTGAGGGGTGGGGAGGGGGAGGAAATTTATATAATCACAAGGCACCCCTTGCTTTTATGGTGAGTTTTAAACACATCATATGCCCAACCCCTTTCTCAGTAACCATTGCGGCACTACCTAATTTGAAGGAGGGGCAAGGAGCAAATGTGGCGCTGAAAAGTGGTTTCCTTACTAAAGGTATATGGGTCCAGAGGAAAACAACAATTTTACCTTTACACAAAATGGAGACGCCCCCTGGCAAAACAATAATTATTAGTGCTTATTACCCCCCCCCCTTTATTAGGCCTCCTCCCTCGTCACCGGCTGGATCCGCACCTGTATGGGTCACAGTTTGTTTAGAAATTTCGCCCTTCCTGGGGCCAAGGTGCGGTTACTCCACTGCATTGAGTCATACGATATTAAGCTAATGGACGTTGATAGCCTTGACTAATAATTTTTTTCTTCCCCTGACCAATTAACATAATAAAATGTATACACACGTATTAACTTGGCTCTCTGCTTTGTGTCTTTTTTAAAAAAAAATTGTAATGTTTATGTATTTTATAATTTGTGCAATATGTACATGATTACGAAATTACTGAAGAACAGCCTTAAAATATGTTTAAATAAAATAACATAGAAACAAAATAGCGCTATATACTTGTGTCATTGGGGGTTGATAACTCCGGGGTTGCAGATGTTGTCAGCATTGTTGTTGGTGTTGTGGGCTCTGTCGTTGGCGTTGTTCTGTTGAGTTCTGTTGACGGCGTTGTTGGAGAAGTGGTTGTTGGGGTTGGTGTTGTTGTTGTTACAGTAGTAGTTGATGCGGGCGTAGTAAGTACTGGAGTTATATGTATAGACAATAATTAATAACAAACAAAAAGGGAATTAACAAATAAAATCGTATGGGGAAAAAAGTTAATAAAAAAATCAGATATCCGTTTGTTGAAATAAGAAACAATATTGCTTTTATAGGAAAAATAACTGTCATAATAACCGAAACAATGACTTTGGCATATAGCCGCGATAAATAACTGAGGGAGAAGGAGATGAAAAATAAAATAAGAAATCTTAATCTCTCATCAAAAATTATTTTTCATGGAAATGAATTTTGTCACATTTTGTATTTTTGTTAATGAATTCTAAGACAATCCCTCAACAACATTTTCTGCATACGATGGATATGAGTGTTTTCTTAAATTCATGGTAAAGATAGAAATGTAGAATGTTAAAGTTCCTTCATTTTGACTAATCGGTAACAAATGAACACCACAACATGAAACAGTAACTTTTGGGGGATAATAAATTTGTACCGATTCATCACTGAATGAGCTCAATGCAGGCATCTTACAAATCCCTGCCCTTAACATAAACTACAAACGAAAACAATAATTGATGTCCGTGTTTGCAGGAGGAAAATTTGGAGTAAAATTTAGAATAATGCATGGAAGAGCACACCAAAAAGTAGAAAAGTGCACAAATTAGGTTTTCAAGAGCTTTTAGATGTGTAGCAAGTGGATTATGAGGAGGAATGATGAGATGCAGACTGAGAAAGGCAGGAATTCGAGATAAGATCAGAAAAAGCAAACTCTGACGGTTAGGGTACTCAAAGAGGACTGGAGGAAAGATTGATTAACATGGGCTGCAGATCAAAGAAAACGCTCGGGCGGGGTGGGGGAGAGAGCGAACATAGAAAAGAAAAGGATGGGCGGGTTGCATCACTGAAGAAATGACAATGATAATTTTGAAGTAGCGCGACAGCATGGATATACCTTCTCATTCTGATTCTAACCATAAATCTTATTTAGGATTTATAAACACATGCATTCTGAACTTCCAAATAAGGTACATGGTATGATAAACAGGCAAGTGTATGGAGGGTACGTGGGCGCATAGGGGTCCATGTGTGTGGGGGGATGGGTGGGTGGAGTAAAGGTGAATGTGTGTGTATGTTTGTACACTACATGACTTCTGTCACCCACACTAACCTGTGCAGTTGGGACCACTGCTCTTATCAGGACAAAAACATGTGTAGAAGAGGCCAAGCTGATTTAAAACATCCAACGGGATACATGTGCCACCAGGCTCACAAGGATCATCATCACAAGTCACTGACTCTGTTTTGAATGAAGATCGAGTTTTACAACAATTTCTATTTCTTGTGATGACCACACTACCTAAGTTGTAGATTATTATATGACACTAAAGGTGTAAACCACACTTGTCTTGTGTTGTTATAAAATGTGATTCTTTCTTTTGATATGAAAAAAAAAGAATAGTTGAAGAGTTTACTATTTGATTATAAAATGAAAACTAAAGGTGTAAACCGCACATGTCTTGTACTGTTATAAAATGTGATTCTTTCTTTTGATATGAAAAAGAGAATGATTGAAGAGTTTACTATTTGTTGACTATTGACCTCTAAGAGTCGTAACCTCCTCTGCGATTTCTGGTAGGCCATTCTAGTCCCAAGTGATGGGTGGTAGGAATGATTACCCCTGGGTTGAGCTTTGAAAAAATAAATCTTACTCAGTGTACACTTTGAAGTGGCAATCAATGATATGCTAGTTGAGTTGCGCTAATGTTTTTAAAAAAGTCTCTACCCCTCCTCCAACAAACTGAAACACTCATTTTCCATTCGACAGACATCAGCCTTTTTTGCTGTATAAAATAATCCTGTCTTCAAAGTTCTAAATCCTCATGTAAAAAGTTTATAAAAAGAGTTTATTCAAAAAGCAAAAAAAAATTATAAACACATGAGGTACATGGTGCTTTATCATGAATGATAGGGAGATGATTATTATTCAGAATGGTGATTATTATTCGGAATGATGATTATTATTCAGAAGGCAAAAGACATCTATTAACATATGAGGTACATGTTGCTTTATCATGAATGATAGGGAGATGATTATCATTCAGAATGATGATTATTATTCGGAATGATGATTATTATTCAGAAGGCAAAAGACATCTATAAACATATGAGGTACGTGCTGCTTTATCATGAATGATAGGGAGATGATTATTATTCAGAATGATGATTATTATTCGGAATGATGATTATTATTCAGGAAGCAAAAGACATTTATAAACAGGGATGATACACAACATATGAGCCTCCTTGTGATCTGATGATAAGATATTCAAAACATGAACTAACACGAAAATGAAGAGTAAGGGATGACAATGACTAAAGCATGCAAACTTTCCTTCGAAGGCAGTGGTGTGGAAGCTGTACAATATCTCCACTAGGTTGCAAGAATGCAATGAATCATATGAGGCACATTGTGCTTTATCATGAACGCTAGGGAGATTACTGTATGAACATGAAAAGGAATTAAAGTACATTTGTATAATTGTTCTCTTTCTATAAAATCAAAATCAAAATAAAATATACATAATTATATGCAAACAAAGAAACAGAAACAAATGAATATTATCCTCAACCTTCAAAGCGCCAGCATTTTGATGTCATGCCCGTTAAGTTCATTAGATATATCCAATTCCTCTATAATGTATACATGTATTTGCTGCTTAATGGTCAATAACAGAGTGAAATTAATGAGATAATGATTTAATGCGGTGATACTTCTCAAATTTCAAATATCAAGATCAAAAGTAAATTAGGAAAAAGGAATTCTCAAAGAAAACACGGTACTTAAAGGGACAGTAACTAAAAAGGTTCGTTTGTTCGGCCTGATCATAAAAAAAAACATTCGCAAGAAGCTTTGGAGCGCTGGACACGTATTCTAAAAATACATAATGTCTGTGATCAAGTGGACAAGACGTTGGAGGTGGTTGAGGTATATGGGTACCTCGCAGAAGTTGATTTCCTTAAAAAGTAGTCATGCTTACTCTTGGGGCAATTATAGTGCGGTGCAGGCGCGTACGCAGAGGGGGGGGGGGGGGGGGGGGGGGGGGTTGGGGGGTTGGGGGGGTTTAACCTCCCTTTGGTATTTTTTTGTTGTTTTTAAATAATAAAAAATAATAAAAATAAAAAATAAAAAATGTGACCTTACCCCCCCCCCCCAACGGAGCAAAATGTCAATTTTTCAAATTTCGAGACCCCCCCCCCCCGCTTATTCAGCGGCCGGCTGAGTCGTTGCGAAATTTTCGGCTCGATTTAAAAATGTTAACCCCCCCCCCTCCCCTTGAAAAAATCCTGCGTACGCGCCTGGTGCGGTGTCACGACTGTCAAGCATGACAGACATAAGCTCAATACACCAAACACTCTTTTCTTCCATCAGCTGCTCCGCCTTCTTCGTCTTCATATTCTTCTTTTTTTTCGTCTCTTCTCCTTTACTTTTCATTATTGTTATTAATATAAAAGCAATATAAAACAAACTGTTATATTTTCCGAATGAAAAGACAAGATGAAAAATTACCACCACCCGAATACCAGCACCACAACCACCACACCACAACACCTACAGAGGCCTAACCATACTGAGGTCCCTGCAATGAATCACCTTTAGAGAAAAAGAACTTCAAGACGAACATGCTGGAAGTTCCATATTTATGCAATAACAGAACTACCATTCATTGTAGGCCTTCAATAACAAGGGAAACTTGAGTATTGCTTGAGCCATTGTAAACGGCCAACATGAGCAGAAAATTAAAACCTCTACTGTCACCGCAAATACCACCACCACCACCACCGAATGCACAACTACTACCTACACTACAATTAACACTAACAATACCAATACCCCCACAGCCGCCATCGTCACCAGTACAGCTGCCACCGTCACCATCCCGAACTGTGATTGTTGACTCTTGGTAAATGTCATCTCATTCTTTGAATTAAGTTGGTTAATAAAATCCGCCATAATATGTTAATATTCTCACGCAAGACTACACGAGAGGTTTAGTGTTATACAGCCATTAATAGTCCATTAATATTCCAGAAATTCCAGCCCAAACCTTGCAACTAACCATTGTCACAAATAGGACCATCGAATCCGGGAGCACACATACAAGTGTATGGGAGATTGTTCATTACATCTTCGATGTTTTGGCAGGTCGCTCCATTCAGACAAGGACTACTCGACTCGCATGGTAACACTACTGTACAGAGTGGGGAAAAATGTTCTTAATTGTTAAAGACGCTTCGAATTAATACCCGGGTATGTCTAATTTCAGAGCTCATTTATATCATTTTCCAGAACTTTTATTGGACCTTTAAACTCACTTCACATATGAACCATCCGGGGAGAAAAATAAGATTGTATTTTTGTAAACCAAACTTTTGTAATCAAACAATGACAGAAAACGAATTCACCAAATCGATTTACGTCCAACCAGAAGTGGGACAAGACAGCAATATTTAATGTTGATTTGATTTTGTTTTTCCTCTATCTGTGCTTATGAAAACAATAGTGAGAACTTATTTCCGAGGAAATATTCTGTCAACTGAAGAAATAACTCAAGATGAATATAATTCTTAGTTTTTGACTAAATTTAACTTCGTCCTGTCTATTTCCATTTACTTTTGTTATCAACATTCTGATGCTTACAATGTATCATAATTGACGAAAATAAAGCATTAAGAAGATGACCACCATGGCACGTACGATCAAAATTAACTCCGGTTTAAGGCAAAATCTGCTCTCTATTGCAATAAAATGGCTCAGCATAAACTTACAACAAGAACTGTGAAATTATTTAGTGTACCTTCACAGTTTGTTCCTGTATACATGGATGGGCACTGGCATGTATAACCATTGGCTTCCTCCATACACATACCACCATTTTGGCAGGGTGAAGAACTGCAATTTAGAACTAGAGGGGAATAAAACTTTTATAAATGATGGGGTTCTACGTCTGTGCATCAAACATTTTTGACTTGCAACTGGCAAATATTTTCTATCACATTCCTTCAATCCTTGATCTGATATTAAAGACCATGCTATTCATTATACACCCTAAAGATTAAGCGTGCTACCAATTTCACAAAGTTCGTGTCTGTGCACTTATTCATTGCAAATGCTGTCTGGGATTCGACGTGAAAGATTACATCTCGAGGCTTGTGAATGAACTATCTAAATTGTGACTTTTACGAAGTAGCCTTTACCACATACATCGACACATAGACACGCTTGCAAGAATGTAAATCTCTTTAAACGTCTCTCTATAAACAGTTAAATACATCAAATTGAATAAATTTAATGACGTGCTAATGTTCTCATACAAGACTACACACGACGGGTATATCTTTGTTAGTTAAGAGCGAAATAGCTGAGACCGTTAATATTCCAGAAATTGCAGCCCAAACCTTGCAACTAACCATTCTCACAACTAGGACCATCGAATCCAGGAGCACACATACAAGTGTATGGGAGGTTGTTCAACACGTCTTCGATGTTTTGGCAGGTCGCTCCATTACGACAAGGACTACTCGACTCGCATGGTAATACTACAGTGCACAGTGGGGAGAAAATGTTCTTAATTGTTAAAGATGCTTCGAATTAATACCCGGGTAGGTCTAATTTCAGAGCTCATTTATATTGACGCTACCATTTTCCTGAACTTTTATTGGACCTTTTAAACTCTCTATACATTATGGACCGTCTGGAGGAGAAAAAATATATATATTTTTTTTACCAGACTTTTGTATTCAAACAATGACAGAAAACGAATTCATCAAATCGATTTACGTCCATCCAGAAATGAGACAAGACAGCAATATTTAATGTCGATTTGATTTTGTTTTTCCTCTATCTGTGCTTAAGAAAACAATAATGAGAATTTATTTCCAAGGAAACATTCTGTTAACTTACGAAATAACTCAGTTACTGTTAGACTTCAAGATGAATATAGTTCTTAGTTTTTGACTAAACTTAACTTTGTCCTGTGTATTTTCATTTACTTTTGTTACCAACATTCTGATGCTTACAATGTATCATAATTGACGAGAATAAAGCATTAACAAGATTACCACCATGGCACTCCATCTTCATGGCACGTACGAACAAAATCAACTCCGGTTTAAGGCAAAATCTGCTCTATATTACAATAAAATGGCTCAGCATAACTTACAACAAAAACTTTGAAATTATTCAAAGTACCTTCACAGTTTGTTCCTGTATACATGGATGGGCACTGGCATGTATAACCATTGGCTCCCTCCATACACGTACCACCATTTTGGCAGGGTGAAGAACTGCAATTTAAAACTAGAGGGGAATAAAACTTTTATAAATGATGGGGTTCTACGTCTGTGCAACAAACATTTTTTTGACATTTTTGACTCGCAACTGGCAAATATTTTCTATCACATTCCTCAAATCCTTGATCTGATATTAAAGACCATGCTTTACATTATACACCCTAAAGATTAAGCGTGCTAACATTTTCACCAAAGATCATATCTGTGCACTTATTCATTGCACATGTTGTCTGGGATTCGACGTGAAAGATTACATCTCGAGGATTGTGAATTAACTAACTAAATTGTGACTTTTACGAAGTAGCCTTTACCACATACATCGACATATAGACACGCTTGCAAGAATGTAATTCTCTTTAAACGTCTCTCTATTACAATCACACGACTCAACATGAGTTAAATACATCAAATTGAATAATTTCAATGACGTGCCAATGTTCTCATGCAAGACTACACACGACGGGTATATCTTTGTTAGTTAAGAGCGAAATAGCTGAGAGTGTTAATATTCCAGAACTTCAACCCAAAACCTTGCAACTAACCATTCTCACAACTAGGACCATTGAATCCAGGAGCACACATACACGAGTATGGGAGGTCCTTCAACACGTCTGCTAAGTTATGGCAAGTCGCTCCATTAAGACAAGGACTAGATTCGCATGGTAATACTACAGTACAGAGTTGGGAAAAAAATGTTCTCAATTGTTAAGTCATTTTGAATTGATACCCGGGTATGTCTAATTTCAGAAGCTCATTTATATTGATGCTATCATTTTCCTTAACTTTTATTGGACCTTTTAAACTCACTACACATATAGACCGTCTGGGGAGAAAATAAGATTTTTTTTTTTTGACCGAAGGTTTCGTAATCAAACAATGACAGAAATCAAATTTAACAAATCGATTTATGTCCGACCAGAAGTCAGAAGTGAGACATGACAGCAATATTTGATGTTGATTTGATTTTGTTTTTAGTGAGACATTTTTTCTTGTGAAACATTTTATCAACTGACGAAATAACTCAGTTACTGTTAGACTTCAAGATGAATATAGTTCTTAGTTAAGGACCAAACTTAACTTCGTCCTGTTTATTTCTATTACTTTTGTTATTAACATTCTGATGCTATCAATATATTATACTTGTTGAAAAATAACAGCATCTACATGATGACCACCGTGACACTCACCCTTCATGACACGTAGGAACAAAGTCAAGTCCGGTTTAAGGCAAAATCTACTCTCTATTACAATAAAATGGCTCAGCATAACTTACAACAAGATTGACACTGGCATGTATGATCATCGGCTTCATACACGTACCACCATTTTCACAGGGCGAAGAACTGCGTCTTCGAACTAGAGGGGAATCAACTTGAGATATGATGGGACGGGGGGGGGGGGCTACTTCTGCGCACCTTACATTTGACTTTAAACTGACCAAGATTTCTCTTTTGCTTTATCTAATTATTCCTTGTAATAAAAAAAAGTACAGATGCTAAAAACTGCGCTTACGTTTAAGGAAGAACAATATCATTTTCAAAAGAAAAAGTACCCACTACATTTGGACATTTCAAAAGAAAAAGAAACCTGTGCCTGTGGCACTCACTTCACCTGCTATTCGGGATTTTCTGACGTGATAAAGAATAGCTCGATACTCGAATCGCAAGTTGGAAGTGTGTGAAATTATTCAAAAGAAATCATAGAGATTGCGTACAAGCGGAAGATGCTCAATATAAGAAGAAGTGTAGGGAGGGAGTGTCGTCATGGCAGGAAAGTTAGTAACCCCTCGTAAGAGGGTAAATGCTGACTTTGATATATGATGATTCATTTGGACAAGCGAGGAAAAGAAACCTATGTGCACTCATTTCACTTGCTATTTAAGATTCTCTGGCGTGAGAGAAAACAGTTCGAGACTTGCGAATAAAATTACTAAAACTTGAATTTTCTCAAATATCTTAAGACTCAATACAATACCTGTGTTTTCGCAGTTCACTCCATCAAATCCTACAGGGCATTGACATGTGTATCCATTGGCATCACCTGAACAGGTTCCATCATTCTGACATGGGGACGAATCGCAAGCTGGAAGTGTGTGAAATAAACAAATCAAAAGAAATGTGTACAGGTTGTGGGACCAAAGTTGAAAGCTCTGGAAATTACAATTGGAAAAACAATTTGGTTTCTCCCTCTGTTTAAACTGGCATACATCCCCTAAATACACCATTTACTGCACCAACTCTCAGAAGACAAATCCAAAAACGATAATTATTTCAACCAGGATATCACTGCAAATTAGTTTCAAGCACGATTGGTTTATAATGCTTTTGAACAGTCTTTAAATGCTTTGAGCAAAAGCAACAACAAAATAATTATAATCTGGATCATGTGTGATTTCACAGTCTGTCCCTGCCTATCCTATAGGACATTTACATGTGTAGCTGTTTGAATCATCTGAACAACTTCCATAATTCTGACATGGTGACGAATCGCAAATTGGAAGTGTGTGAAATTATTCAAAATAAATCTTACAGATCGTTAAAAAGCGGAAGATGCTCAATATATGAAGAAGTGTAGGGAGGGAGGATCAACACTGTGCCGTCGTGGCACGAAAGTCAGTAACCCCTCATTGGATTCATTTGGACATGGCGAAAGAGAAAGAAATCCCATGTCTGTGCACTAATTTCACATGCTATCCGGGATTTTCTGATATGAAAGAAAACAGTTCGAAACTTGCGAATTAAATTACTAAAACTTGAATTTCTCAAATATCTTAAGACTCAATACAATACCTGGGTTTTGGCAGTTCACTCCATTATATCCTACAGGGCATTGGCACGTGTAGCCATTGGCATCACCTGAACAAGTTCCACCATTCTGACATGGTGACGAACTGCAAGTTTGGACTGTGGGATTTAAAACAATAATTAAAGGAAAATGTGTTTAGGTTGTGGGACCAAAGTTGAAAGCTTTTGAAGCTACCATGGGAAAACAATTTGGTTTCTCCCTCTGTTTGATCTGGCATGCATCCCTTAAATACACCATGTGCTGCCCACGCTATCACAAGCTCAAGCCAAATACGATAATTATTTCAATCAGGAAATCACTGCAAATTAGTTTCAAGCACGATTGGTTTATAATGCTTTTGAACAGTCTTTAAATGCTTTGAGCAAAAGCAAAAACAAAATAATTATAATCTGGATCATGTGTGATTTCACAGTCTGTCCCTGCCTATCCTATAGGACATTTACATGTGTAGCTGTTTGAATCATCTGAACAACTTCCATAATTCTGACATGGTGACGAATCGCAAATTGGAAGTGTGTGAAATTATTCAAAATAAATCTTACAGATCGTTAAAAAGCGGAAGATGCTCAATATATGAAGAAGTGTAGGGAGGGAGGATCAACACTGTGCCGTCGTGGCACGAAAGTCAGTAACCCCTCATTGGATTCATTTGGACATGGCGAAAGAGAAAGAAATCCCATGTCTGTGCACTAATTTCACATGCTATCCGGGATTTTCTGATATGAAAGAAAACAGTTCGAAACTTGCGAATTAAATTACTAAAACTTGAATTTCTCAAATATCTTAAGACTCAATACAATACCTGGGTTTTGGCAGTTCACTCCATTATATCCTACAGGGCATTGGCACGTGTAGCCATTGGCATCACCTGAACAAGTTCCACCATTCTGACATGGTGACGAACTGCAAGTTTGGACTGTGGGATTTAAAACAATAATTAAAGGAAAATGTGTTTAGGTTGTGGGACCAAAGTTGAAAGCTTTTGAAGCTACCATGGGAAAACAATTTGGTTTCTCCCTCTGTTTGATCTGGCATGCATCCCTTAAATACACCATGTGCTGCCCACGCTATCACAAGCTCAAGCCAAATACGATAATTATTTCAATCAGGAAATCACTGCAAATTACATTCAAGCACAATTGTTTTATAATACTTTTGAACAATATTTGAATGCTTTGACCAAAAGCTAACAAATATCAGGATTATACGTGATTTCACAGTCTGTTCCTGCATATCTTGCAGGACATTTACATGTGTGGTCGTTTTAATCATCTGAAAAACTTCCACCATTTTGATGTGGTGAAGATTTGCAAGCTGAAAATGTGTGCAATTAATGAAAGAAATCTTACAGATCGTGTTTACTAAAGATTAAAGCTACATAGTGTATAGAAATGTAAAAAAAAACAAAAAACAAATCCCCCAAACTGACAATAAGTGAAATGCTGTGGGGTTTTTTCCCCATGAAAAATTCCAATAGTTCACAATCCTCTGAATAACTTCCGTAATAACTCAACGATCTTCTTAAAGTGACTCGGTAACAATGCCTCAGATTCTGAAACACAATCCTAGATTTAGCCCATGCTGCAATCATGATTATAAACCTTTAGGTCAGGAATCCCATGACTTTTACAAGCCGATCGCATGTCTGATTATCAAGATATTTACGATTGGAAATTGAAATTTCATTTGTCCTTTTCCTAATGGTTTTTGTAATAATACAGTCTATTTGGGGAAATGAGTATGGTACCGGTCACTCAAAGATTTTTTACTTTTTGAGGCACTTCATGATCATTTTGAAGCGCAATTTTTGAAGGACTTCAATATTACACCATATCACAGACACTGATACTACATAGGGCCATGCATCTCAGATTTGACATTGTTAAACGGTGCCTTTAAGAAAGAAAATAATCACCCTGCCCATCACAGTTTGGCGGAGATCTACCAGGAGGACAAATACAAATATACGATTGACTATTCCCATCCTCCAGACAAGTCGCTCCATTTCCACCACAGGGGGAACTGTCACAGGGACTTGCAGAGTCTGAAAGAATCACAAAGCATGAATAGGATGTGCACGGAATCATTGACGAATATCTCTACAATCTTAATCGAAAAACACTACAACAAGAGTCAGAAGTAAGTTTCATGAATCAGTTTTGATGCAGATTTGGTAAATAATAAGAGGGTTATTAAGTTTTGATTTTGAGTTGTAATAGAAAAGTACTTCAATGTGTCTCTGAATTTCCTTTGTCACGTAATAGTCATGGTCGATGCAGTTTACTTTTAAGACTCAATACAATACATGTGTTTTCGCAGTTCACTCCATCATATCCTACAGGGCATTGGCATGTTTACCCATTGGCATCACCTGAACAAGTTCCACCATTCTCACATGGTGAAGAACTGCAAGCTTGGACTGTGGGATAAAACGAATCAAAATAAATGTGTACAGGTTGTGGGACCAAAGTTGAAAGCTCTGGAAATTACAATTGGAAAAATAATTTGGTTTCTCCCTCTGTTTAAACTGGCATGCATACCTTAAACACACCATGTGCTGCACAAGCTTTCAGAAGCCAAATCCAAAGACGGAATCATTAACGAATATCTCTACAATCTTAAGTCTCAAGTTTCTTTGTTACGTAATAGTCACGGTCGATGCAGTTCACTCCTTAATATAATATTTACCTATAATCGATGTATGTAGCCTATACGCTCCGTATTACCACAAGTCAATACAAGTACTTGTTCAATTATCGCAGTGAGAAAGTGAATAAAACTATCTTTGATGTAAATCATGTGCGTACAACAACAAGGACTACCACTGAGATACAGACATCAGAAGATAATTTGATTAGGCTAACCTGGAGTATCGCATCTGTCTCCACTATATCCCGCAGGGCATTGACAATTGAACCCAGTGGTGTCATCAATACATGTTCCACCGTTTTGACAAGTTGATGGCGTGCATTCTATAAAAATATCACAATACAAAAAATTAATCATCAATAAGAGATTGGGTGTTTTACTTAATTTATCGAATGCCCAAATAACGGATTTTGACGGGAATAGTACAAATATGTATATTTTCATTTATCGATTTTAGAAGGAAAAAAGAGGACGCTAGGGGAACCCTCAGCGAAGATTACTATATTCCGATGTGCCTTTTGTAATCTTTTGTGATTGGTAAGTCGCTGATCTGGAAAAAAGTTTGAATTTTGAACATGAAGATCCCTTCCCTAAAGCCGAAGTCACACTAGGAGTACGATCGGTTGCCGACTTCTGACAACCCTAAAAAGCTGCGACCGTCGACAATCAATTTAGAATGAATAATATAGAGGGGGAGGGGAGGGGGTTGAGGAAAAATGCTAACAATGGCAGCGACAAGGATAATGGAAAATCCGCGTGCATTTTCAGTTAACCGATAACAGTTAGAAGCAGTAGGAAATGTAAATAGAATGAGAAGGGCGTACATAGTATGGAAGGGGAGGGGAAACTGTTTTTGACAAGGGAGAGCATAAATCATTAATCAGTTTGAAAACTGTCGCTAATTGTTGGAAAAACAACAACAACTTTTCCATGACCAGTTTGGTGTTGGTGTTCTCATTGGCTATACTTACTTTCAGTCTCACAGACTAATCCTGTAAAATTGGTAGGACACTGACAAATATAACCTGCGCCGAACCCACTCTCAAAACATGTTCCACCATTTTGACACGGCGAACTTTCACATGTAATTGCTGTTAAAAAAAGAAAAAGAAACAAACAAAATAGTGATCGTTGAATGCGTGAGAAATACATCTCAACAATATTTATTTCTCAAGCAGTGAGAGGGATTCACTTTTCATACATATTACTTGATAACCGTCAGGTCTGAGATTTTGTTCTTGCAATAGAGTAAACAGTTATCACCACTTGCTTTTAGTACTACTGGAAGAAAGGTTTTTTTTTTGCCATCCTGAAGATATACTGTTTCTATCTAGCTACATTATTTAACAGAGCATAGGAACACCCAAACACAAACGAAATTAATTTTAGAATATGGAAATGTTAATAAGGTTCATAAGGTTCATATTTATTGTCCATTTGATAATGAAAATTCATCGTGTTACATGGTCTTGCGATTCACATATATTTAACATAATATACTCATACAAAGTATTATGTACTGAGAGCAGAACAAAGCAGTATGCTGAAAAAACTGCATAATTTGCAATTGTCATTAGGGAGTGGGGCAAAGTAGTTTATACCCTTGATAGCATCTGTCCCCTATCACTACTGATGTATACAGGGTTTCTAAAACGTTGAAAACGTGTATTGATATTCGAGTAAGCGTACCGACCGAGCTAGAAAAAACACGTTATATTTGAAATGTTATAAGCTGTCATGGTAGAGCACAGTAAAGCTTATCATACACCATTTAAACTGCAGTATTATATATGTAATATGGAGGGGGAGGGATATGATGCCCCTGCCCCCTTCCAGCAATGTTTTCGAGAACCCAACACGTACCACTTTCGCATTGTGGGCCTGCGTACCCCCCAGGGCATTCACACACAAGATCCCCGTTTTGGTTGAACGCACATGTTCCTCCGTTCTGGCAAGGATCGCGCAAACATCCTGTTAACTCTAAATGATAGAGAAAATAGAAAATAAAAAGAAGGAACACGTTTGAATGAGAATAATAATGAATATGATAATAATAAGAAGAATTATGATGATAATAATAATGATTATAAAGATCATAATAATAATAACAGTAATAATTACAATTGTAATTATTATAATGATTAAACAAATATTTATAATATGCATTTGTAGATGGATTCATGATGGAAAAATCATGATGAAGGTGTATGCATAAATGCTTATCGATTCGTTGGTAAAACGAGAGGAGAGAAACGTAATGGAGGAGTTGGTTGTTATATAAAGAACAGCTTAAACTTCCGAAGGCATCCAGTATTGAGCTTTTTAATTATTGTATTGACGTTCTAATTATTGAAGTATTTGTAAATATAAAATAATTGCCATCCCATATGGACCACCCGCTCAATCATATCCTGATTCATTAAATGCCAAAACAAACAAATATTAACGATAATACCTACCTACAATACATCGAGGTAGCTGGAAGAATTCCGGACAAACGCATGCATAGATGCCCGATTGCAACATACATGTACCACCATTAACACACGAGTTATCTGGTGACCGACAGTCAGTAATATCTGAAAAATGAGTTAATTATGTTAGCCAGTATCTACAATTATGATATTACTGAACCTCGCACTACAAAATACATTATGATTATCAAGTCAAATAGGTAGCGTGGTTACGGCTAATGAGGGGGCACTGATATCATGGGGGGGGGGGGGGTGAGGTGTCACCAAAGCTTCCATGGATGGGATAAGATGCTAGAGAACAGGACCATAGTGTGAGGGGAGGGTGTGGAGAGGAGTTGCATCATATTTTCATGTTAACTCCCCCCTCACCACCCCTCTCTCTCTCTCTTCCTTTCCCTCTCCCATTCCCCCTCTCCCCCTTCACCCTCTTTATCTCCCCGTTCTCTCTCTCTCCCCCCTCTCTCTCAATCTCTCTGTGGAGCGCATGATACCCTGATTCGTCTGATCTTTCAAAAAAGATTTATAATGTACGAGAAACAATAATATAGATTGTATACTTGTCTGTTGTAATGCACTCCATAATTATTGTTTTCTGAAGATTTCAATTTCTTATTATATTCCGCGTTTATAAAGCGCAAAATACATCGGCGATGTCTCTTAGCGCTTTACAGATATAATATCGCCTGGTCATCGGATTTAGGTTTACCCGCACACAATGAATGCACATTCTCCACTCCATGGGGAGCATTCTAGCCAGGCCCCTGTTACCGACGCACACAATGCTGAGCAAACTACATCAACGCGACATAATGCCGGGTTGGGATTTGGTATCCCATACCTTGTGATCTACAGTCCGGTGACTTATCCACTAGACCACAATACCTCTACCTGTCTTCAAGTTTTCCAATATTCAGATGCGCTGTCTTTAACATAGATCTACGCTGTATTATTTTCAAAGCTATATTTAAGCCACTACACGAATCTATCAAATGTCATCTTAGCACTAATTTTGTAAAAGCCTAAATGCCAGATTTTACACCTCAGTTTGCCAACCAATTTGAGTCATCTTTCAAGTGCTCAAGTGCTCTGCAGTCAGTTCTTTGTATAAAAATAAATAAAACATTTGCACGATAACATTCCAAAAGTAACAACTCATATCAAACCAAAATTGCTACGTCGTAAAAGTGAAGTATGTTTATTTTATGTGGACTGACTATTTGAATAAAAGAATATCAGGTTTTCATTATCTGAAATTCCAGATGTTTGTGTGTATCAGTAATGAACTCAGAACACACACAAAACACCCATCAATGAATCTCACGTGTGATTTCATTCCATACAATAGTTTGGAACCAGAGCAACACCTAATCAAATATTTCCAAAATTTGTTAATTATAAACTTTAAGAAATGATTTTTCAACCTTCTCCAAATATAATATTAAACTTTTCTGTGGGCCAACTTTAGTTTGATAGGAGCGTTACATTAATATAAAAAGTGTCCATTTGTTTTGGAAACCTATTATGAACACGATCGCAAATACATTACGAAAATCAACCTCGAAAAATAATTATAAATAATTTTGAGCGTCACCTTGTAAAATGTGTGAACAATACAATAAATACTTTTTCATATTCAGAAATGATATCTATGGGATATAGAAAAGGGTACTGAAATTTCCGTCGAGTTGATTTCTTCAAGGTCTTTGCGATTGTGTTTAAGGTAAAATTCAGAAATATCTACCTAAACCACACTGGTCCCCCTCAAAAAGAGGAGTACACTGGCATTGGTACGAGGTTAGCACCAGGGCACAAGTTCCACCATTCTGGCAAGGCAAACTATTCGTACAGTCTGGTGTTACTACAAAGAAGAGGGGGCGAAGCGAATGTTAGTCAATTATGTCAAGTTAAAGTGTTGTATATTAAAGCACAGAGAAACAAATCCTAGGTAGAAGCACTTTACTAAAATCTTAGATATTACAAATATTAAACCACAGTCATTTTGGGGGTAATGCAAATGTTCGTTTGGTCGCTGTCGGGCTGGTGTCGGTCAGGTTGGTATGACTAGGGTATAACAGCATAGCAGCTCTAATTGCATTTCCATTCTGTCAAAATCAAGCCACTTAATCCAGTATCTGTCTGCACACACTCTGCGTAAATCACATTCTTATTGGATTAAGAAAATACAGATGCTCCGTTAACGTCGAAATTTGATTGCTTCCTACAGCCGTATTATTTTAGGATTACAGCAAAGTAAGTATGCGATTCTTTTCGTTTTCACGTTGTGAATCGTCATGTTGATTGAGTTGACTGAAAATCCATTTTTATTTCTTTAAGCAAATGGTTCAATTTCTTTAAAATTACTAATTACTACAGCAAGCACTTATAAAGTAGAAGAAGGCGATTAAACATTTTGATTATATGCTGTACATATATATTATTTTTCTTTTCTAGGGAAATTGATTAATATTACAGATAAAATAGGTCACAATAGCGTTTAGTGCCGGTTAATCTGCTGCAAGTCGACATACGACAAAAACACAAAGATGTATTATGAAATACGATTCACATCCAAATCCAGAATACGTAAAGGTGTGACATTGACAAACACGGTTATACATTAAGCATTAAAATGTCATTTGAGAGACATAGCATCCCCTAACATATCACGTTTAAACGAAAAAGTATACAAAGTAAAAATGAATCCTAGGATAAATTTTGTTAAAAAGGATCGCGTGCCAGACATATATCACCAGACACCGATGTCACATTCGCATCGTCGTGTTAATTTGGAAGCCCTATATACGCCCGATTGTTACCAAATCCTTGAATACGTACGTATTTCACAGAACTCGCCCATAGCATTAACAGGACACACGCACTGGTAGACACCGGTTCCTTGGTTTATGAGACAATTTCCATCGTTTTGGCAAGCGGTAGCGGTTCTACAATCTTGTTTTGCTAGGAAAACAGAGGGCAAAGTCATTCTAAGTGATTTTTGTTCGTGATTTTGTTAGTGCAACATGTACGTTAATAAACATCCCGGGCTGTCGAACAAATACACGTTAAATGTATAACATTATTTTGAAAAAACGTTAAATGCTGTAAAACTCACAGTACATCACATCACAGGAAAGAAGCACATTCTTTTACCATTCCACCCATTTATGCACTAAACAGACGATATTATATTACACATTTTTAAATAGCTATTCTCCTGATCAGTAATTTAATTCAAATATTATACTCCATGCAGAATGTGATATATCTTTTCTAGAGAACAAGGAAGACATAGGCGAAAATGTTTGCTGAGTGACCAAGAAACAACGAAGGAGCTGCATTCATGTACATAGAACGTTATTCGAAATTTATAGAAATAAAGGCTTTGGTTCTAATCAAATTCGGCTATAAACTGTGGTTTTATGTGTCCCCCATTTTTGTTCGACCAAAACAAAAACTTTCTAATAGGGAACTTACTTTCTACACAGGTTAAACCCGTGAAAGGATCCGGACACGAACAGCTGAATGTAGAACCATCGTTGGTACAAATACCGTTATTTTTACATGGGCTTAGACCACATGGAGCTATGACGCGAGAAAGGAATAAAACATGGATGACATCTTTAGTCTTATACACCAGCTAAACCGACCAAGCGTCTCCAAACCGACAAATATCGACCATTGTTTGGGGGTGATGTGATATTACTTTTGGATTTACGTCACTGTAATATCATCGTTATCGTGTTTTTAATAGTAGTTTTGAGTCTCTTTCCGATTTTGTTAGAGTCATTTTCTGACATATTAAAATTCGATTGTTATTTTTCTGTAAATTTTCGGTCTCGGACTCGGACTCGGACTGGTATATAAGACGTGTCATCAACTTTTGAAATTAGTGACAGAATTAAGCATTGAGGAGGCGTACAAGAGAAAACACACAAATAAACTGTATTCGAAAGCTAAGAACTAATCAAACTTTGAAAATGTTTGTTTGGACATTTGGCTGGAAAGCTATATATAAGATAGTAATTTCGATCAGATATTTTTTACTGCATTGCTTGTTGGACTAAGAGTATCAATTCCCGTGTCCCTAAATCCGGGGGGGGGGGATCTGATGTTTTCTAAGGAAGCAAACACACACAAAAATTCCTTTGTAGCCAAAAGAGCCTTATAGCTTTTCAACTCTATGTACTTTGCTTAAAAAAAAAAAATGCAACATCAATACTGTATTAAACAAGGAAGCGCAGCAGGCATTTTTTCACAGCAAGTTTATTTTATGTCCTATTCTATAGGCCTTAATTGTCCTTTTTGTTTGTTACCAATATCTCCACATCGTTCCCCAGTGTGCGTTGGAGGGCAATTGCACATGTATCCTGTAGCGGTGATTCCACAGGCACCTCCATTGAGGCAGGGGTTTGAGTCACACGGACCTGCACAAGTAGAAAAGTGTTTGTACATTGAATAAACCTCAAAAACAATTATAATTAGCTTAGTAATTCAATAATAACGATAAAGAGTAAAAAAAAAAAAAAAAAAACACACAGATAAAGTGAACTAAAATGAGACCGAAAGAGTATCGAAAGAGCATCAAAAGAGCATCTATAAATTAGATCATCGAACATGCAGCCTTTTTCTAAATAGTGTCCAATATCATTGCTGCTGCTGCTATTACTACTACTACTACTACTACTCTTTTTACCACTAGGACCTGCCCATATTAATACTAACATTTTCACAAGACATACAGAATTATCACTGACATTGTTCCGAGATTTAATAATGAGCTACAAATGACAAAAATGGGTACTTTTCAACAGGATACGAAGACTAGTTTTAGATGAGACATTTTTGAGCTTTTTTATCTCACCCTGCGAGTAAATAAAACGCAAAAGTTAACAGAAGGCTGATATCAGCAACATCAACGAAAGAGGTGGTGAAATACGGATGGCGAAAACAGCTTAAATATATTTATTTCAAAGCCATTATTTTACTTTGTAGTGCTAACATTGCTTCATATTTTGAACAATATACAAACTTTGGTTGCACGTTGTTCCAGTGTAAGGTAACACACACTGGCAAGTGAAGGAAGAGAAGTCATCTGCTGCATTGCACTGCCCGCCGGATTGACACGGGGTTGAGCTACATGGGTTCACTGTATTAAGTGAAAAAGCAATCATCAACATTTAATAACAAATACTTAAACAAAAAAATAGACAGACAAATGCGGTTTCCCTCTTTTAACGCCATACAATAAGAATGCTGTATATAAAATCAATAATATAAATGAAACTCTTGCTCTTAAGATTTAAAAACAACCTTTTACAATTACTATAAACTTTTTTTACCCATGCATTGTTTTGTAAATGTCAATAAATCGGAAACATGTTTTTCAAAGGAATTTACTTAGATGCATACAAATAGTAATTTGGATTTAGACTAGAGTGAAAAGAAAACAGTCATATATTTTCAGAGAAAATCCAGAATGTATAAAATGGAATGCCAAAAACAGAATGTTTCGGGGAGTGAAGGAATTCTGCCAAATCGTTGATTCATTATGTTAGTATTTTGCATGTAGAAGAGCTTTGTTGAAAATTTAGCCTCAAATTTTCGAAATGTAATGATCAATTTGATTGCATACAATATCACAACATGTCCATACGTGCATTACAAGAGAGAGAGAGAGGAAAAAGAAAAAGAAGCCATTACACTGTGAAGAGAGAGAGAGAGAGAGAGATAGAATTAGAGAGAGAGAGAGAGAGATAGAGAGAGAGAGGGGGAGGGAGGAAGGAAGGAATGGATATGTATAATAGAGATGCACTTATCATACTCTCCTTTTTAAAGTCTCCAGTCAAGACTGGAAAGCGTTTCTATACAGAAATATGTTTGAAAGTTGTTGACAACATCAGATTCCTTGTCATCAGCAATATTGTCATTATTATCATTGCCATTATCATCAGTGGCATAGCGGGGTACTGCAACGATTGGGGGGGGGGGGGGGGGGGGGCGGGGGCGCCGGTGCACAGTGGGCCAGGGAGGAACCAAAGTGCGCCAAAACTAAGTTTGGGTGATTTTTATTTTCCAATTTTTTTCTTGCCCAGTTGAAAGGTAATACATAGAGGAATACCTCAGTGAAATATTTAATTCTGGTATGCACAATAAGGGTATAAATTTACTACTTCAAACAGCAAAATCCTACATATTCACAGTTTTAGTGCAAAAGTGACTTATTTTATAAATCTTTCAATTCAACATGAAGTTTTTAAGTTATTGATATGAAATTGCTCTCACATATTCCTGATAGTTCATTTCGTTGAATGAATGGGTTAAAATTAATGGAAACACAATCTTCATGATATATTATAGGGTAATTCACTGAAAAATGGACTAATTATCCATGTTTTTTATAAATCCAGAAGAAATGTTTAGATCTCCGCGGTGTACCGCTTAAATTTTAATACCACCATTTTCTCTGATGTCTAAGCTTTAAGTTGATACCAAATTTGGCTGCCCGATCTTGCCCGTTGTTATGTTAGAGCCGATTTCCCTTGCCACATTGCCCCGAAAAATGTGGGTTTTGGGGGTCCGCTGCTGAATCATGAAGGATTCGTGGTCATAAATCACGGCGCGAGGGGGCGCGTGACACTTGTTCTGACACCGCGGACCAAAATAAACACATTTTTCGGGGCAATGTTGCAAGGAAAACGGCTCTAACATAATAACAGGCAGAATCGGGCAGCCAAATCTGGTATCAACTTAAAGCTTAGACATCAGAGAAAATGTTGGTAATAAAATTTAAACGAAAATCCCTGGAAATCCAAACATTTCCTCTGGATTTATAAAAAATAAATCCCCAAACATGAGTTTTGGCGCACTTTGGTTCCTCCCTGGCCCACTGTGCGGTGTGACAAGAGAATGAAATACGAATCTACAAGTCTACTGATTAAGGGGTGGGTGCGGGTCCCGTTCACCTTTCTCTCTTTCCAAACTTGTTCATTATTAATAGCACTCGATGGGGGGGGGGGGGGAGGGGTGGCTCTAGTAGCTCCTTTAGCTGCGCCACTGATTGTTATGGTAAGTATGAATCGGAGGAGGCGACAGAATACCATTTTGACAGTTGACTCCAGCGTGTGTCGAAGGACAGATGCACCTGAAACCTTCCGATTCTGAGACACAAGTTCCGCCGTTTATACAAGCATTTGCCTGGAGGCAAAAGTCTAGGGTATAACACAACAAAGGGAAGATTATAATATAGAACATGTGATGAAGAAAATGTGCAGATGGTCATCCAAGAGTATAACCACGGCCCGCATCCCGCTTTCATAAGACTAGATATCAATAAGAAAAATCTCCTCTGATGAAATCATTGATAATCATTGGCTGTGAGCAAAGCTGTAGAATTGTTGCAGTCGTTTTTTTAATGAATTTTACGAAGTTTATCAATAAAACAAGCACAGAGAGACAAATATCGAGATATCTCGAGAATAAGTATATGATAATTCCCATTATTGCACAGCCTTTTTGTTTTTTAAGCTGCATTTTAAAAATAAAACCGACAGCATCATATCATAACGAGACTCAAAATACTTCTTAATACATTTCACAAGCAACTTTAAAGTTTCCTCTATACCAACATTCAGGAATATTCCACCCAGAATATTTTAATTGTACCTCAAACATGACAAGGAAACCTTTACAAACAAACGAACAAGCGACAAAAACAAAAAACAAAAATGAATGCTTCCACACAGAAAGTTACCAAAGTACCGAGAGTGTAAAACGAAGCACCTGTGATCCCAGAGCAAGCAACCATATCCATCACCTTAACCCCTTGACTTCTAAAGTTTCCCTTTCCCCATAAACATTCAGACAGGAACTATCCGACTCCCGTAGGCACTTGGTTAACTAGTAATTCGAAAACAACGAAAAAAGGCGATCTTGATACAAGAAAAATGAGTCAGGTCCACCACCTCAATGAATTAAAACAGAAACACACGACAAAATCATAGTACAGAAAATAAAAGGTTTTTAAACAAATACGCTGAGAGAGAGAGAGAGAGATAACAAAGATAGAATGAGATCCAGATTAGACGGGTCGTCCAAAAAGACGGAATGTTCATGGGACCGAAATTTTACAAGAGCGAAAATTAAGTTGAATAGACCTTTATCCGCGTTCTCTTAGATTTTCGGTCATCGGGACTGCGCCCCAAATCAAAGGGCACGTTTCATTTGCCCGTCTACGAAAACGATAGGTCTCAATAATCCCCAAATCTGCTTCCTGAGTTTTAATGTGTAAAAAGGTAATGTGAATTGATGTAGAAAGTCCTACATCCGTCCGAATCATGCTATTAGTTTGATTTGATTTGATTTGATTGATTTGATTTATTTATTTCTGTTTGATTTTCTTTTTCTTTCGGAACCGGTAACATCGCTAGTATATAAAATAATAATAATAATAATATTCAGCTTTTATATAGCGCTTAATACATCTCGGACGTCTCTAAGCGCTTTGCACATTTTTAGTTTATATTTTTCGTTTCGGTTATATAAGAACGGCCGGGAACGGAGGATGGAAATTGGCGGTGTGTTCCTCCAAAAGATAAATAGAGTGGAGAATATGCAAAGGTATGAAATGAGGTTACAAACGCTAAGAAAGGAAAGAGGATCGATGAAAGTTCCCCCAATTCTGGCTAGTACACTGAAAGAGTATCAGCTATTATTGAGCCAATGCAGAAAGATGTTCAACAGACAAACATACCGATTGGGACGTCACACAATCGACCGGTATGGGAGATAGGACACATGCAAACAAACCCAGTTCCTGATGGCAAACATGTACCATCATTCTGACATGGTGAGGAAGTGCAGGGATCTGAAAAACGACATTTATTTATGGAATGAAATTATCCTGCTCTTTTTAATCTTTAATCTTCAATGACAAGAGTCGGCTAAAATTCAAACTGGATTGTGAAGCACAATGCTAAGTGCTAAAGGACAGGCAAATAGGCGAAACAGTTTGAATTTTGCTGTTTACACCTATTTCCCAAACACATAATCATACACAGATGTTCAAAAAAGAATGGGAGAGAGAGAGAGAGGAAAAGATGTATATAGATAGAGGGATAGAGTTAAGTACGTAAATAGAGAAAGAGAGAGAGAGAGAGAGAGAGAGAGGGGGGGGGGGGGGGGGGGGAGGAAGGGGAAATAAAGGAATAATTTCACTGAAGGGGGAGTTGTATTTTGTTTATAATTTATCTACATCTCAAAAATGGACTTTTGCGAGAAAATCAGCAGCATCCTAAGTGTATGAGCCTTTGCCCAAATTCAGTAATCCATTTAGTTCTCCCATGTCCTACGCACCCGCAATGGTCCTATATTATGTTCCAATGTCTGATTTGGGCTCATGTCCCATTTGTCCTATGTCCCTTTGGACCTACGCCCCCGATTAAAGCTCATGCAGATCGTAATACAGTGTAGTAACCTCAAACTTAATTCCACATTCACCGCAATAACTGGAGATAATTTGGACCAACGAGACTACCGGATGGTAACGTCCAACTGATACGTATCACTATTAAAATGCTATAGTGATGACCACCATGAAAAATATAATGTAAATCATTTGTTTCTAATGCACCTACGAGGCGTCATTTCGTTGCGTTATTACCTGTACATTAAAGTCAAGCCTACAAATATGGCCTATACGCTCAGAATCGTTCGCCATGTTTTTTCCATCACTTTTTGTACTTTTTCTCTCTCGCATTGCCCGTCAAAGACGACACCAGTCACTAACATATACGTCAGGCAATGAAGCACCTCATCGCGCAATGGGCATAGCATTGTTTTCCATTTTTTCACTCACCGGAAGCGGCGTTGACAGTGACCGTAAAGCCACATCTCTGTATGTTACCGGCGTTGTCCACTGCTGTGTAAACCACATTTATCGTTCGGCCAGTAGGAAAGTTGAATCCCGATTGAATATTAGGAGTAAAGCTCTGTATCCCGGAAGCATCACTTGCTTGAGGCTCATCCCACGTAACAGAGAGTGTATTATCTCCTGGTAAGGCAGTGTCTGTGATGTCACCTGGACATCCTGTAATCGTCGGGAGGGTTGTGTCGGCTGCAAAATAATCGGATATTAAGATATAATCTGTATGGAAAGAACTCAAAATGTCATTTTTGTAACAAAGTATTGTGAAAATAAATTCGCTTATGGATTTTTTAATAAGCATATCGTTAATGATTTATTCACATAATTGCAACTTTGACCACATCTATTCCTATCACAGATTTTTGACTTGGATTTCTACTTAAAATAAGAAGCCTCCCACTTAAAAATATATTTGTTTTATGCATCGTGGCTCGGAAAAACATACATATTCATTTCTTTTCAATATCTCATGAAGATCACAAACGTCTTTGAATAAAAGAAACAATGAGTCATCCATTTGGGTCGGAAGCTTTTCCAGGGAGATGCACATTTCTTTTCTTTTTTTTTAGAAACATAAGCATTAGCTATGACGCAAAGTTTTCATACATTATTTGGATTAAGACTGAACATTTCGAAGTGCTGTACTCGGTTCTTGAAAAAAAAATGCAAAGAATTATAATTATGAAAACCATTTGTGAGTTACTTTGAAGGATACATAATATGTTGAAACATGTACTTAAATATCTGATTTTATTTTCTACGAAATATACACAATTTTTTTAGCAGCAAGAATACAATATTCAAAGTTATTTAACATGAAAAGAGTCTTTTAGATAATAAACAGTGCAGTACTGGAGTATATATAACGAACTTAGGCCATATGTGCTTTTTATGGAAGATTAGTATATCAGTGCTACCACCGATAGGAATGTTACGAAAGTAGATGTTATACTTACCTAAATACTGATAAATATTGACACACATACTCACAACATTCATGCACGCAATACATACTTCATCAATATATTAATCACACAGCAGCACACTCACAGACATCACGATGAAAATAAAAGCGATAGGAAGGAGACAAAATGGTCAATATTTATTCATCAGTCTGAAATAGTCGGATCGTTGATGAGATATCCACACCGTCCTATGCCACACTGTAATATTCCTACTCGAAATTTATTTGTCACACAGTACGAAAACTACGCAAACACAGTTTCTGTCCACAGTAACCACAGCTAGCACTTCAACATTGTGTCCAAACTCCAATGTGGTGAAAAGCCTCTATTAGTATATAATTGTTACTGTACGCATAGTGTTTTCACACAAGAGTATTAATGGTTGTATTGTTTAAGTGTATTTTCCATGGACACTGTGGGCAGAGTGTAAACACATTATGTATTTTCCCCTGGTTCACACTATGATCAAGTGTCAAATCTATTCTGTATTCACACAGTTTATGGGGGCCACAGTGTATCACACTCTGCCACAAAATGTGTTCTCACGTACTCCTAAATAATTACCGTGGGTACACTGTGAGAAGCCACTACATGTATGTTCTTTAAAGAGGGATTAAGCTCATTCAGTTGTGTTTAGGTACATCAAATGAAACATCATTGTTGTTCACAAACATGCTTTTACACCTACTGATCCTATCAAAATCAAACATGTATCTTCACATCGTAATCCCGTGGTCCAAGCGGGACACATATACGAGTAACCGATGGTGAGTGATACGTATGCCCTACCATTCCCACAAGGATACGATGCACATGGCATATGGACTGAAAACACATACCTAGTGATAACACAGGAAAGACCTAATATATCACATTAATTTCAAATTAAGTCGAAAATCACTTTCTTGTACATACATTTTATCATTTATAAACGTTTTGCTATATAACGAAAGAGTCTTGATTTTTTTTTCATATGCACTATGAGAATACTTTAATGTAAATACTACAAAGTTAATAGCATTTCAAACAGCAATTCGTATCAAATTTGTTAATGAAATATGGGGGAAATTCATTTATAGATTTAGATAAGGAAATTAAAAGATGTGCTTTAGTATTAGATAAAAATATGCATGTCAATCTTTTACACCCCTACAAGTAAGTCATTATCAACAAATAGATTAAACTCTACCAAATTCGACGATTGTCACGCTGCCAATGAGAAGGTGTAAACGGCACTAAGTTATGGTGTTATGTTAAACTAAGAGCGGTTAAGATTAGATGTCTAAACGAGGGATGAAATGAAAAAAATCTATCGTAGTGACACCACTCTTCCTCAATCATGGTGCCAAATATCAAAATGCTTTCATTTCTCATATGACAGAAAGTATTACACTAGACTACTAAACAATTAATTACAGGAAAAGGAACTATTATGTTATTGACTAACTACGAGCTAACTAAAACAGTAACATAATAGATATTAATTAATTTATGATAAAAAATAGAAGTGCATTTTTGTTATGAAGTTGTATGCAACAGAGGTGAAATCTTTATAAAATGTAAACAGCATTCTATTATAACGATTCTTTACTAAAAAAAGATATAGTACCGCAGTCACACTGACGAGACCGACGCAAGACAAGGAAGAACAAACATTCACTCCTCTGGCAAAGGTGTTATAAAGTATTGGTTAGTGTTGAGTCGAAATGTCGATGTCACTGTTGTTATGTGCATTTCCTTTGAGGGAGTTGTTGCTACCTGAAACTATCGCCAATAAAAATCATCGTTAATACCTGATGAAGATGCTGCCACTGTCGCAACGAAACGGCACGATATGTCGATATTTCCGACGTTATCTGCGACAGAAAAGGTGACGATTGTCGCTTCACCCACAGGTAACAGGGACCCTGATACTGGGATTGATGTAATACTCGCGACACCAGAGGCATCAAATGCCGTAGGTGATGACCAAGTGACAGGCGCGACTTGTTCTTCTGCGTTTGCATTGATAGTAAAGTCTAACGGGCAGTTGTTGACAGTTGGTGGCGTTGTATCAACAGAAGGACCTGTAAATATGGCAAAAAGGGAAATGGCATTTCATAACTATTTTATTATAACCTGTGTCTGAATATGTAGTTGATAAGTGTCTTATCCGAAGAACAATACATGAGCTCGATAGTGATGAAAAATCTAAGACGTAGAGTAAAGATAAGAAGATATCCATACAATTAGAATTCAATATTAATGGTTCTACATGACAAAGTAGCGATGAAGTTTAAATGATAAACGAAAAGTACGCTCATATTCCTGGCATTTTTCTTTTGGTTCTATTGTGACTTTTAATGACAGAGTAATACCTGATGAAGATAATATAGTGATGGTAAATCTGCACGTCGTGTCATCAGTGTTTCCAAGGTTATCTGTTGCCGTATAAACAATTGTTGCTGTGAATCCTACGGAAAACGTCGTGCCAGATGGGATATTTGGTGTCAGGCTCAGGACTCCTGAAGAATCACTAGCACTAGGTGCTATCCATGACGCTTCCACGCCCTGTTGTCCAGGGAGGGCCGTTATGACGATGTCAGCAGGGCAGTTCGTGATAATGGGAGGAACGGTATCGGCTGTGGATAGATCACAAACGACAGTCTTCAAATACCTACTTCCATGTTCAGTGATACGAGGGGAGTATTTCTCTAAAGAAATGATATCCTATCAAAGGCCTGCCAGTTTACTGCTTCTTACATCTTAATGCAAATTCAAAGGATTGTCTTTTAGCACTCTGATTTGTTGCACACATTTAGATGGAGGATATTTTAAACGTTTTTTCATATTAATCATAGCTTTTTCCATAATCATGTTGCCTTTTTTACATTCAATTTATTGTCATACATTCGATAAAATCACTAAGAAAATGGAAGATGGCCCTAGAAACTCAGCACGATTTTTCAAAATTCATGGCATTTGCTTTATAGTTTGGCTTTCACTTCAATATTTGTCAAGTATGTGCAAACTACGGCGCATTTTTTAATATACTATTTGAATGATAAAAGCGAATTTTAAAAGTATTCTATTAACTAAATCTGCTAAGGCAAATTTATTCTACTTGTTTTGTTTTTCAAAACAAAATCGCGGTTTGAAATGTAGATTGCGAAGTATATACCTCCATTAGAACTGGTGATAATCCTCACTGTGAATTCACACGACCTATCCTCGTTGCCTGCATTATCAACGGCACGATAAACCACCGTTGTAGTGGTATCAGCCGGAAAGTTTGTTCCCGAGGTGGCTGATGATGTAAAGCTTTCAAGCCCTGATCCATCATCTGTAGCAGTGGGCTCGTTCCACGTGACCGGTCGGGAGCTTGTACCAGGGGTTACTGTGTGCACGATGTCTGTAGGGCATCCCTCAACCGTTGGCGGAGTGATATCAGCTAGATTATTCACAGGGTAAAAAAAAAAAGATGCATGAATATCTGAACCTTGGGGGTAATAAAGGCCTGTATTCTTCTGAGTCGACTAATCTAAATCTTGCTTTTTACCTCAGTCACACCGACAAGAGCGACTCCGAGCCGATAACAGTCCAAACAATGAATCACATTATCTAGAACGCGGCTAAGAATCGGTCGATCTGGAGTCGGTTTGGAGTTCGTTCTGCGGTATGACTGAGGTCTAATCCACAATATGAAGGAGCGATGTTTCAACGACACCATCAAATAAAGATGCATTTTTGTATGAAGTCAATTCAATTGATTAATATAACCTTGGACTAAGTAGCAGAAAAAAATAACGAGGATACGATTTCAGTTCATCAATCCTAGATTACAGAAAGTAATTACTACGGGATGAAGAGATTGACACTTGGTGCATCAATCCCTCTAATTCTAATTCTAGTTTTAAAGTTGGACTAATTGTCGCTTTCTTACTCAACTTTATAGGTTTAAAAGCCAATTCTACCATAATCTAAGCCTATGTATGACGAAAGAAACTGGGAGCAAATCTAGTATGCAAATTAGAACTGTGCAAGAAAATACGCCTAAAACTATGGATAAAGCAAAGAAAGATTAAAACCTTCATTACGTCACTAACTCTTCTTTTCTTACGCCACTATCGTAGTTCTGCGCAAAAGCAATTTGTTGAGGTAAGACGCCGTTCATGCTCAATGCAACAAATGAATTGATCTAGCTCCCCTTTCACGCAGGACAGCACGATAGTGTCATCTAATTGTTTGATCTAATCTGATTATGTTGAAGCGACATATGAGATAAATTTGAAAAGCATTGGATATCAGAACTATTCCTAGCAAACATAAGAGTTTAGAATTACGTTAACAAAATTTAATACCATACGAAGTTTAAAAAAGAAGTCATGTTAATAATTCTAAATAGATCATGTTAACAATTCTAAATAAAGGACAGAAACATTTAAATATCGTAGTGATCTAACGGTTAAAGGCTTCTCAGACACACACTAAGCGTTAGACTAAAATCACAAGAAATACAAATCAGGAACGAAATTTAAAACTACAGCATTTGGAAACAGAGTTTACGTACCGTTAACTTCAAGCTATTAGAATTTAATAAGCTGCAAGCAACAGGAAGACTTCAGTCAGTCGAATCGATTCAAAGAGTAAGCGAATCAGCGTATAGGCCCGGTCAAATTGCAAATGAAGAGGTATGTTGGAAAGGTAATTTTTAATCATGGGAAGTATATTCTACTTATTAACGGACTCACGACTTATTTACTTTTTAACGAGAATGATGACTCTATCAGATAGAAAATAGATCTTCTGCAAACACTTTATGTTTGAGGTACTTGTATTTTTGTGTTTGCAAAGAAAGAAGTTCAGCCGAAACGTGAACCAAACTATGGAATATACCTACTTGATTATGGGGATGTCGGTGCTGTTGTGAATCTTGTATCTAATATTCATATTGATTTCATATTATTCTCTGATCGAGACAGATTTATCATGTCCATAAGAAATTTTAACCATTTTGCATGACCTGTTAGTATCAACTTCTGTTCTAAATAAAGGATTTTGAATAAATCATTGTTAAGAAAGTACGTATTATTCAAGGTAGAGGAAAAAGCAACATCATAAAGAAGGCTTATGTTAAACAAAGACAGTCATTCGGGCAGCGCAGACAGACGGAAAGCATAGCTCGTAGGATACCTAACGTTGATGGCTAACTAGGTTTAAACCGGTACAAGCGGAAGGTTCGAAAGTTGCAACTATCAGATTTTAATCCGTAGACCGGGCCTACCTTCGGTGGTTACCCTCACAGTAAACGAGCAAGAAGTATCGCTGTTTCCGGAAAAATCCGTCGCGGTGTACTGCACATTGGTCGTAGTATCAGCAGGGAAATTAGTCCCCGATGGTACGCTAGATTCAAATGTCTGGACACCGACATTGTCATTAGCCGTAGGTTCCACCCAGGAAACCATGAGGGCTACCGTTCCTGCCGGTACCGTTCGAACGATGTCCGAGGGACAGTTCGATACGACTGGAGGGAAAGTGTCGCCTGATGACGTCACTATGAGGGTAATGGGTGAAACAAATTAGTCTTCAATTTTAATTGATAATCGCTTCGAGAATACACTTAATTTTCGGGTTTCTGATTCGATAGAGAGGCTTTTCTCCCTGTTATATGTGACAATCATCACGTTCAATTGGTCTAACCATGGACCTACTACGAAGGTCTAACGTAACTTTCACACCCAAACAAATAAAGACGAACACACGGACAGTAGACCTCCACAAACATATTCACGAATATTTACCCATACACGCCCACACACGCACATCACACACAACGCACGCAATGATTTCCAGACGTCATATGCAGATAAAGTCATCTCACCCTCAAAATACTCACATCATCACAAATAATCAAATTCAGCCTTTAGCAGGTTTTGTTTTACAATGTTTTTCTATCGAATTTATAAGCCACCGAGGTTAGCAGTCGTGACTATGCAAAGTATATATTTATTTGAATATATTAAGTGCCATACTAGGGAAGGAATAACGACAGTTATTTAAAGTAATATTAACATGCAGGTACAAAACATGAATTGCATTTTGTGTACAAAGAATCACAAAGGATACACACTTCAAATTGTGTTAATCAAGTTCTGAATAAAATCAAGGTAATAAACACGGGTTAACAGGGTGCATTGGACCACAAAGGTATTAGAGTGATATGTGGTATATTAGAATTCCGTGCTGTGCAGTCCCCCGGTGCAGTCTAAATTCTGAAGTCTCCAAACCTTTCATTTCACAGTTGGCTCCGGAATAGCCATCGACACACCAGCAGAAGTGCGACGAGGTGTCCCAAGGGAGCACTATGCAGTTCCCCTCGTTTTGACAAGGAGCAGACTCACAGGGTTGGACTGTTAGGCAAGGGTTTGATTTAAAAAGTTTGTAACCAAGATAAAGAAGCGTAGTTCACAGAGCTAGCTTAAAAGAATAACACGGAAAAAAGAAACACGAAGGAAAGGGAAGAAGGTGACAATAACACGTGTTATTTGACAGGAACAAATGACGAGGAGTAGTGTGTTGGCGGACGGGAAACGACGTTTACTGAAAATCGAAAACTAGTAAGATTAGAAAGAAGAAATGGAGAAAATGAGGAATGATAAGATTATAAGGCAATAAAGTCATACATTAGCGTGGAATAAACTCTGTTAACTGATGTTAAAACATGAATATGTTCAGTTAATAGACGAAAAACATGATTATACTGTTATGAACAAAATTTCGCACATGAAAACACATTTATGAAGAAAACAAAATTATCAACTTTTTAGAGCCAGAAGGACGTTGAGTCCTTTTCATTACAATTAACTTAACGCCTTTTTGGCTCTCAACAGACAACATGTAGCATTAGTTTTGGGTACAAAACGATGCAGGCAGTTAGCTTTGGAATCCAGGCAACCACATGCAACCATATTCGGAAAACCTGGATAGAGAATACAAAAAAAGCAACAGGAAACATTTTGTTAATTGAACAATTATTTACATCACTCAAAATGAAAGTTAGGTTATGTCAGCAATATAGCAACTTGAACGTGTATATATAAATTTAAAAAAAAACACAAAATAATTCATGGGAAGGTACTGAAAACGTATTTATATCATTTAGAAATATATTTTTCGGAGCTTTGCCACTATAAATGAATAAATGCAGATGTTTGTTAACAAGTATCCAAGAAATAACAGGATAGGAACATAATATTTTTAGTATAAAATGAGAACTGCTTAATATCGGGCCTACAAAATAATGTGTTTTCAAGCTTGATTAATTTCTCGGTGTTTTAAAATGAAGAGCTTTTCAAAACATTTCGTTTGTCACCAGTTTGACTGGAATATTTTTACCTCCTGAATTCGATCAATAGTATTATGAAGGTTCGACATTTTAGGTTTTCTTTCGTCCCTACACAGTTTGTGCGTGTTTGGACTCGTGTTGCTGATCTAATTGACACGGTAATGATAAGTATCCGTCATTTCTATTTTCGATGGATACATTAGTATCAATTAAAAACCACGTGGCTATGATAATAACAAAACATTTATGACGTATACAGCCTTTATTAATGTTTATTAGTCATGAAGATAAGTTTTTTAAAGGGGATATTTTTAATTGATAGCAATCATTTTTGTTATACCCTGCTCCTTCCTCCATCTGCCCATGTTTGACATTAACAATGGTGTATTGAGAATTATATGCATTAAAAACGATATTCTTTGGAAGAAGGCAGCGGGGGGGGGGGGGAGAAATAAAAATATGAAAATTAAAAAGTACAAACAATACAATTATAAAAAGAAATTAAAAAATAAGTAATCAACTTGATGTAAATTATTTGTCATATCTGAAAATCTGACGGTCTAGTAATCATGTACTTTCAGACAACTGTGTTTGTAAATCTTAAAGAATAAACCTGCTCATAATAGTAGAATCCAATCTTTTTCTATTTATTTGCACAATTTTGATGTAAATCTAGATATAATGTCATTTGTTCATTAGAGGAGTAACACAAATGAGTTTCTGATTATGTAACGGAGGAAGAGAAAGGAAAAATAAAGGAAAACAAGAAAACTAGAGAGAAATGCACTCACCTGGAGTTGGACAAGTTTCTGGATTAAACGATCCATCATGACATTGACAGGTATAAGCTGAATTACCAGAACCAGTCATCAAACATGTACCTCCATTACAGGGTGAACTAGAACAGGGATCTAAAACACAAACAGCAGATAATGGAATCATTATCTCGCTTCAGCAAACTAAAATTCAGACATTAGATGTTTTATTATGTGAAAAATGTGAATTCACATAGAATTCAACACAGTTAAATGTCAAATGTATCCACAGTTGTATGATATTATTTACGGACTAAAATGTATTCAATCTATATCTCTCTATCTGCAAATGTAAATGTAGATATGTCATTTGTTTTAGGAGAAGAAACGAAAATGAGTTTCTGATTATGAAACGGGAAAGAGAAAAGAAAAGAAAAATAAAGGAAAAGAGAACTATAGATGAATGCACTTACCTGGATTTGGACAAGTTTCTGGATTGAACGATCCATCTGGACATTGGCAGGTATAAGCTGAATTACCAGAACCAGTGATGAAACATGTACCTCCATTACAGGGTGAACTAGTACAGGGATCTAAAACACAAAACATCAGATAACGTAATAATAATAAAATTCCGCTTTTATATAGCGCTTAAAGACCATCATTACTCATGTAAAGGAGGGATTACACTGCGAATTCACTGGACAGGTGGTTATTTCATCAACTCAGCTCTTTAAGATGAAGTTAAGTTCTGGTCATGCGATTGCATTGTAAAAGAAACGGTGTGGATCGAACAGAAAGGTTGATCATCTAGCATAAGAATTTGTGTGTATTCAAGGTTCTGGAATCATCAAAATCATAAGAAATTTGGCCAAGTCTTGGTAAAGTTACAAACACTGTACACAGACAGATGTATATGGGACTACACGAACACGTGGCGTAAAAATCCTACCCCCGAGTTTTACGATGTTAGATGACATATTTTGAATATGAAGGCATTTGAAGAGCCATGCTCTTCAGGGAAGATGTCTTATCTGATGTTCTTCCACACTTGCATAACAAGAATGATAAAGCTCACAAATTATTTTTCGACTCTTCCTAGGACTCAAACTTCTCTTTAAATAACATAAAAAATGAGGATCATGGGGGACCAATGGTCATCGATTAGGCATGGTTTGTTATATAGAGGGCGCAATTATCTACAAGTAGTGCAGTGTGGCTTTACATCTACGATGTCTCTAAACGCTTTACATGTTTACTATTACCCGCATCATTGGATTTAATGCTTGCCCGCACACACTGTGTGCACAATCTCCACTCCCTGAGGAGTAATCCAGCCAGGCTTTCCTTGACGCTCCAAGAATGTTTGACCATCAATGACGGTCGCATCCTATGAATCATTACTCGCTTCAAACGGAAATTCAGACAGAGGTTTTATTATGTGAACAAGGTTGAGTAACATAGAATTCATCAGAGTCAAATGTAAAATGTATCCAAAGTTGTATGGTATTATTTACGGACGAAAATATATTTATTGCACTACCAGCTCTAACATTTAAAATTAAATCTATATCTCTCTATCTGCAGATGTAAATGTCGATATGTCATTTGTTTTTGGAGGAGAAACGAAAATGAGTTTCTGATTATGAAACGGGGAAGAGAAAAGAGAGGAAAAATAAAGGAAAAGAGAACTACAGATGAATGCACTCACCTGGAGTTGGACAAGTTTCTGGATTGAACGATCCATCCAGACATTGGCAGGTATAAGCTGAATTACCAGAACCAGTCATCAAACATGTGCCTCCATTACAGGGTGAACTAGTACAGGGATCTAAAACACAAACAGTAAATAAAGTAATCATTATCTCGCTTCAGCAAACGAAAATTCAGACATTAGATGTTTTATTATGTGAAAAAGGTGAAGTCACATAGATTCAACCCAGTCAAATGTCAAATGTATCCACAGTTGTATGATATTATTTACGGACGGAAATGTATTCAATCTATATCTCTCTATCTGCAGATGTAAATGTCGATATGTCATTTGTTTTTGGAGGAGAAACGAAAATGAGTTTCTGATTATGAAACGGGGAAGAAAAAAGAGAGGAAAAATAAAGGAAAAGAGAACTACAGATGAATGCACTCACCTGGAGTTGGACAAGTTTCTGGATTGAACGATCCATCCTGACATTGGCAGGTATAAGCTGAATTACTAGCATCAATGATGAAACATGTACCTCCATTACAGGGTGAACTAGAACAGGGATCTAAAACACAAACAGTAAATAAAGTAATCATTATCTCGCTTCAGCAAACGAAAATTCAGACATTAGATGTTTTATTATGTGAAAAAGGTGAAGTCACATAGATTCAACACAGTCAAATGTCAAATGTATCCACAGTGGCGTTGTATGATATTATTTACGGACGGAAATGTATTCAATCTATATCTCTCTATCTGCAGATGTAAATGTCGATATGTCATTTGTTTTTGGAAGAGAAACGAAAATGAGTTTCTGATTATGAAACGGGGAAGAGAAAAGAGAGGAAAAATAAAGGAAAAGAGAACTACAGATGAATGCACTCACCTGGAGTTGGACAAGTTTCTGGATTGAACGATCCATCCTGACATTGGCAGGTATAAGCTGAATTACCAGCACCAGTCATCAAACATGTGCCTCCATTACAGGGTGAACTAGTACAGGGATCTATAACACAAACAGCAGATAACGTAATTATAAAATCATTCCGCTTTTTAATAGCGATTAATACATCTACGATGTCTCTAAGCGCTTGAAAAATATACTATTACGCCGATCATTGGATTCAATGCTTGCCCGCACACACTGTGTGCACAATCTCCACTCCCTGGAGAGTATTCCGTCCAGGCGTTACTTTACGCTCAAAAACTGTTTGACGAACAATGACGGTCGCATCCTACGTATTCATTATTTCGCTTCACCATGCGAATATGCAGACATTAAATGTTTTATTATGCGAACGAGGTGAAGTCACATATATTTCAACAGAGTCATTTGTGAAATGTATCCTAAGTTACATGATATTATTTACGGACGAAAATATATTCATTGCACTACCAGCTCTAACATTTAAAATTAAATCTATATCTCTCTATCTGCAGATGTAAATGTCGATATGTCATTTGTTTTTGGAGGAGAAACGAAAATGAGTTTCTGATTATGAAACGGGAAAGAGAAAAGAAAGGAAAAATAAAGGAAAAGAGAACTACAGTTGAATGCACTTACCTGGAGTTGGGCACGTTTCTGGATTGAACGATCCATCTGGACAACGGCAGGTGTAAGCTGAATTACCAGAACCAGTGATCAAACATGTGCCTCCATTACAGGGTGAACTAGAACAGGGATCTAAAACACAAACAGCAGATAATGTAATCATTATTTCGCTTCAGCAAACTAAAATTCAGACATTAAATGTTTTATCATGTGAAAAAGGTGAAGTCACTTAGAATTCAACACAGTCAAATGTCAAATGTATCCACAGTTGTATGATATTATTTACGGACTAAAATGTATTCGATCTATATCTCTCTATCTGCAGATGTAAATGTCGATATGTCATTTGTTTTTGGAGGAGAAACGAAATGAGTTTCTGATTATGAAACGGGGAAGAGGAAAGAGAGGAAAATAAAATAAAAGAGAACTACAGATGAATGCACCTACCTGGAGTTGGGCACGTTTCTGGATTGAACGATCCATCCTGACAACGGCAGGTATAAGCTGAATTACCAGCACCAGTGATCAAACATGTGCCTCCATTACAGGGTGAACTAGTACAGGGATCTATAACACAAACAGCAGATAACGTAATGATAAAATTATTCCGCTTTTATATAGCGATTAATACATCTACGATGTCTCTAACCGCTTGAAAAATATACTATTACGCCGATCATTGGATTCAATGCTTACCCGCACACACTGTGTGCACAATCTCCACTCCCTGGAGAGTATTCCATCCAGGCGTTACTTTACGCTCAAAAACTGTTTGACGAACAATGACGGTAGCATCCTACGTATTCATTATCTCGCTTCACCATGCGAATATGCAGACATTAAATGTTTTATTATGCGAACGAGGTGAAGTCACATATATTTCAACAGAGTCAATTGTGAAATGTATCCTAAGTTATATGATATTATTTACGGACGAAAATATATTCATTGCACTACCAGCTCTAACATTTAAAATTAAATCTACATCTCTCTATCTGCAGATGTAAATGTCGATGTGTCATTTGTTTTTGGAGGAGAAACGAAAATGAGTTTCTGACTATGAAACGGGGAAGAGAAAAGAAAGGAAAAATAAAGGAAAAAAGAACAACAGTTGAATGCACTTACCTGGAGTTATCTCATATCTAATGAGCTATGACCTTTTACCTCTGACCTACATACTCCGAAACCGAACTTAGGCCGTGTTTTGATACCATGTACTTTTATATCAAATTTCATTAAAATCTGTCAAACATTGCTAAAGTTATCGAACGGAAACCAGATTCGCATATTCAATGAGCTATGAACTTTGACCTACATACTCCGAAATAGAACTTAGGCTGTGTTTTGATACCATGTACCTTCATATCGAATTTCATTGAAATCTGTCAAACATTACTAAAGTTATCGAACAGAAACCAGATTCGCATATTAAAAAAGCTTTGAACTCTGACCTACATACTCCGAAATAAAACTTAGGCTGTGTTTTGATACCATGTACCTTCATATCAAATTTCATTAAAATCCGTCAAAAATTGCTTAAGTTATCGAACGGAAAACAGATATGTATTTTGTCCCATAGTTAATGACAGGGCGAACTAGAACATGGATCTAAAACATACGAGAAGGTTTAAATTCATATTTCATCTACTCCTGTCAACAACGTGTGAAAAGAAAATCTCTCTTTAGCATTGTACTGTATGGTAATATACGTTGGATGGAATCTTTTAAATGGCGGGGTTCATTTAATAATTACGTACGTGCTCACGAACGAGTCACAGAAGTTATTAGGAATAGGGCCGCGCATTCATGTTATCATGTACCCGACACGAGCAAACAAATTTAGAGGATGTATTTACTCCTGGTAATGAACAAAACATGAATTTCCGAATGAAACAAAATTTCACAGGATGATCAAAAATAGACAATTATGGGTAATACCAAACCTCTTTAAGTAGAAAAATGTAAAATCCATGAGTAATAAGCAAAAATGATAGAAAAGCTTTGCTTATGACGATCCCCCCTTTCTATGTATGATTTGTATGTGACCAAGTTAAAAATTCATAATTTGTGATGATGTATATGGAAAATAAATGACTCTCAAATCAAAATCGAATCAAAATCAAATCAAAGTCAAGCTACTCAATCAGTCTCATATATTGAACTTCAAGAGATATTTCGATTTAGGAAATGGCAAGTGTACACTATCAAACGGTCATTTGAACGAAGTACTACGAGAACAATAAATGTCAAAGTAGTTAATATATTAAGATGAAAACCGCCAGTTTAATCACTCTTTGTGACAAGTTTGTCAAAAGGTCCATAAAAACATCAATTTTAGTTTCGTTGATCTCCTCGTCCAATTCCAGGAACATAATGGGGCGGGAGGGCTTGTACGTCTTGGATAGGGAGAGGGGAGAGGGAAAGGGGAGGGGGAAGGGGGCTTGGGGTTCTTGCATTCAGTTTCAACATTTGCCTCGCCTTTATATATTTACAAACAAGCACAAAATGGTAAGGCTTGAGCCCCTTAATAAGCCCCCTCTAGAAACGCTCCTGCTATAACACCAACAGGAATTCCTAACACATAATACCAAACGTTATTTCTATACCACTCTGTAAATATCTATACCCTCCCATGCCATAAGTATTGCAACATGATGAAATTCGTTAAATTTGTGGTTAATGACTTCTCTTTGTTGTAGCGGTGTTTTGTTCGAAATTGAACATGCATGACCGTTGTTTCGGTATAAAATGAATGTGCACCTTGTTCACTTTCTTATTCAATGCTACTGAGTCATTCATGCACGCACCATGGTTAAGACAGCCGAGTTATCTAACGAGCAACGCCGACAAATCGTTGCATTGAGACAGGAGGGGGTTTCGGTAGCTCGGATTGCTGATCGCTTTGGGGTATGCCGTCAAACCGTGTACCGAGTGTGCAAACGCTACGAGGACACAGAAAATTCCGACAAGCGACCAAGACCTGGCAGAAGCAGGAAGACAACGCCCCGGGAAGATCGCTACCTTCTGCGTCAGGCCCGTATGACCCAATTCGATTCAGCCCAAACTTTGGCAGCTCACTGGAGCGACAGAATTGGTAGCAGAATCTCAAAGAGAACAACACAAAGACGCCTGTACTCTTACAATCTCCATGCCCGCATTTCCAGGAGAAAGATTCTGATATCTCGCGTCAATCACCTAAGACGCATCAGGTGGGCCACCCGAGTGAGGGATTGGACTTTGGAGAACAATTGGAGGCATTTCGTCTTTTCAGACGAGAGCAGGTTTTGTCTGTCTTCGAACGACGGAAGAGTAAGAGTCTGGCGTGAACCTAACACCTCTTACGACCCAAGGAACCTTACTTACACCCAAAGGGGTTCAGTTTCAGTCATGGTCTGGGGATGTGTCGGCCTCTATGGAGTTGGCGATCTTGTTGTCGTAGATGGGAACATTGATAACGCCAAATATCGAGATATTCTGGACGCCCACTTGTTTCCATCCATTGCTAACATCTTTGGCAACGCGCAACACCCGTTCGTCTTCCAGGATGACAACGCACCTGCACACAGGGCAGCCAGGATGGACCAATGGTATGACGAAACTGGCGTCAACAGGGTGCAGTGGCCGGCGCAATCACCAGATGCTAACCCGATAGAGAATCTGTGGGATGACATCAAGAGAGCCAACACCAAAGACCGACCAACCACGAGGGAAGGTTTGGTCCGCTCTATCTTCAGGGCCTGGGGCAGCATCACCCAAGAAAGATTGCAAGGACTCTACGCGACGATGCCAAGAAGGATGCGCGCCATCATTAGAAGGCGAGGATATCCAACAAAATACTAGAGACTCGTGAATCTTACATGAAAAATGACTATTGATATATCAATAAAATGTGCCTGATAGTATGATAAAAAATGATGCACTACATATTCATTAAAACAGCACTCATTTTCATGTAATTATTTGTCTCCTGTGTAATGTGTGTGTCTATGTTGCAATACTTTTGGCACGGGAGGGTACATTCCTGAAAAGGGCTGAGGTAATATTCACTTCTTTTGCTATTTATAATTATGTTAACTGTAATTTTGCATTATAACTTTGATTTTCGATATGTTTGTTATACCAAATAGAAATTTGTATTACTCGCTTACCTACGATAACAGAACAGTCGTCTCCAGTGAACCCGGTAGTACATGCACAGATGAATAATGGAGAGCCAGGGAAGACTTGCGTACATGTTGCTCCATTTCGACAAGGTGTACTACTACATGGGTCTTCTTATGATAATGTTTGACACGGTTATTTACTTAATACAATCGCGTAATGTAACAATAACACGAATAGTACAATATATGTTTCTGCAAAGGCATTGGGAAGAAAGATCAGAGCCCCGTCTTATGATTAGTTGCTACTGATTCAAACTAATTACAACTTGATATCAATAACCACTCCATTAGAATTTGAAGTTTGACATCACTCCGGATAAAACAGGACCCAGATCTCAAAAGAAAAATAACTTTGTCCAAAGAGTTTTCATACGAGCATTTATTAAACGAGAGAAAAAGAGGGAAATAAGTGAAAAAATATGTTAAAATGTAAGTAGAAATTAGATATATATCACCAGGTACGTAGTATTTTTGAAATATCTACATACATGATCCTGTGAAAAGATGTAATAAATGTCAGTTATTAATCATAACTCAAGAAATATCATAGAATTTAGATGTCCCGAAGAGGTCTTGTAGATTTTGTTGTTCTTTTACAACTTTGTATCCCAAATCTAACATTAAATGTCATAAACCTGTACAAAAAAATACAAGAATGGCAAGGGGAGAAGGAAAATGTAAATGCAGATAATTAATGCAGAAGCAAGAGACACAGTGAATTGCCTGGAATTAAACTAGATGCTAAAAAGATGCTAAAAATATGCTGTCATTAAATCAAAACGATACAGCGATTAAATACACATGATATAAGACAATAGAATGAAACAAAGACTACGTAAATATCGCTAGACGAAAGCAGATTGACATAAACTCAATAAAAAAATACTCTTTAAATTATCTCAAGCATCATAGCAAAGCTAAACCAATTCAATTTCAAGATTGAATTCAGTTCTTAAAACACACCCGTACATATCCGCACAACGTTTCACCGTATGTCAAAAGTGACGTCAAAAGCCACGTCACACTGACTACTATCGACCACAAATCATATCATAAATGGGATAAACTCGTAAAATCACCCAAATACATGCACCACACCCTCATTCTCGTTCACCCAAACCGACAACATCACAACATATGCGTGACATTTTCACATTACCGTAACACTTTATCTTCCAATAAATGGTGTTTCTTGAATTCTTGCTTCAAAATACTATATATATTACGTAGATTGAAATGTATTACACGAGTGTCTTTGGATAGCATGCGGGGGGGGGGGGGGTGCATGTCCATTGCTTAACATTATTGTATTACCATCCTATTTTTTAAAAGTGTGTGTTGTCATGGCGGCCCCATAAAAAAGCCGCTTGCCTTTTGGGGGAATTCAGCATCGGTCTTAATACACATTAAGCTGTAAACATTTTGTGATATTCATTTTGGTACAAGAAGGAAACGTGTTCTTTTGAATTATGAATCATGCTTACCCGAGGTCTGGCAGTTGATTCCAGTATAAAGTGGTGGACAGGCGCAGGAATAAGACTCGACATCAGTCACCGTGCAAGTACCCCCGTTCTCACAAAGGCTAGGATTACATGGAGCTGAATTTAAAATTAAAAAAATTAGAATTGCATCCAAATTATGAATAAGAATTGTCTAAAGAAAACAAAGGCTATGGCTGTGTGATATTAAATGATTGTAAAGACTGGGGTGATACTTCCTGTGTCCAAAATCACACTAAACACGGGTTAAAATTTTTGACAGGGTTAGCAGTACACGGAGTTCTAATTGCATCAAGCAGATCGGCAAGATTGTATCAATAGTATGCTAAAAATAATACCAATAGCATAGAAGCTATATCAGTTTGATATTGGTATTGGTAATTTTAATCATATTTACGTGGTGTATAAAAGTATTTTTTGTATGAGTCGCAGGACAGAGGCAGGAGTAATTATGCTTGTTGTTATCATTGTCGTTATTCATAGCAGTAGTAATATTAGTAGTAGAAATAGAAGTAGCAATAGTAGTTGTGGTGGCAGTAGTAGCAGTACTACTACTACTACTAGTAGTAGTAGTAGTAGTAGTAGTAGTAGTAGTACTAGTAGTAGAAGTAGCAGAGGAGGTAGTAGTATTAGTGGTGGTGGTGGTGGTGGTGAAAGTAGTAGTAGAAGTAGTAGTAGTAGTAGTAGTAGTAGCGGTGGTGGTAATCATACTTACCAGGAATATCGCAGTTTGTTCCCACATAAGTGGCGGGACAGGTGCAGGTATACCAAGTATCACCTCTTATGGCACACACTCCTTCGTTCTTGCAAGGATCGGGGTTACACGGAGTTGTAGTTGTACCTAAAAACGAACAAACAGAGGAGCCATAAATATATATGTTATCAATGTTAAAAGACGCAGGTATATCATAAACAGATTTAGATTTAGATTATGATGATAATAATAATACTACAGTACTAATACTAATACTTATACTTATACTAAATCTACTACAATTACTACTAATATAAACAACAATACAAATAATAATAGTGTCTATAATAATATTATTAAAATAAATAGAAAATAAACAATATTATTGTTCATATTGATATAATCATGATAACATATAATGGGATATAATTTGCTATAATATGATGAAATATGAAATGCACATCCGTATATGGGCCTTATGGAAGGACAGAATGCCAATGCCATACTGGTGCTCCGATATTTCTGCGGGTTCTTACTGCTCCTGGCTTTATTTCGTCAAAGGTACAGTGTTAGGGTTAGGGTTACAACTGATTTTGTTAGGTCTAGGGTGAGGGTTACAACTGATTTTGTTATATTTAGGGTTAGGGTTACAATTGATTTTGTTATATTTAGAGTTAGGGTTAGGTATGTTTGGTCCAGGTTTGAAGTAAAGAATTGGGCCAGTGTAGGACATTACCGCGGAGCGATTGTCGCAGGATCAAGCGATAAATGTAAAATCACCTTTTCTTCCGATGGTTGAGGCGACACCAAATTTAATTGACTCGAAATCAAGAGTAAGTTGATCCGAATTGACATTAAATTTGATGCTAAATTCTATGTTAAATACATTTTGGATGCCAAGGGCTGAACCTTGTACCAATGCATTAAACAATCTGTCTACCTTGCCAAAATTCTTCTACATTCTAACGTTTCAAGCATCACATTTGAATTCATACTCAGATGTGTTTACCCTGACTTTGCTTTGAAGTTTGCAGGAAAAGTAAGCAAGTAATGAGCCTTCGACTAAGCTTTAAACAGATAACATACCAATCAATTTGGAAATTACAGAATAATGTTTATTTACTCTTTTGGTCGCATACAGTCCCGGTAAATCCTTCAAAACAGTTACACCGGATGCCACCGCCCTGAATCGTTTCACAGGTTCCGTTGTTACAAATCCAATCATTATTGGTTATGCAATTATCTGGCAAGCAGTGGAAGTGTTAGAGTAGATTAGTGAATTGTTAGAGTAGATAAGTGAATTGTTAGATATTTTTTTCACTAGGTAAGGGCCCTGAAACATGAAGACTTACAATCGATTGAATTCATCTGTTCAATACTAATTGTTTGCTTGATTTTTTGTTTTTATTTCTGCGTTTTCAAAATAGAACACAATCATATCCATAAAGTAAACAATTTTTACAAATATTTTTCAATGAAAATAGATGAATTACAGAAAACGCAAGAGACCCCCATCATGAGCGGTAAGCTTGAAATCGATGGCGGCCTCGAGAGAATAGCGGCAAACTCTAAATTGATTAGCACTCAACTTTATGTTGCCATGGTTAAATGATATATATACCTATTATAGCATACATAAGACATACTATAGATTTATTCAATTATAGCCAGAATAATTTTTTTGAAGGTATATTTTTATGTTACAAGACCCTCGAGGTTCTTTACACTAAACAGCTTTAGTCTTTAGACTCACAGGATGGGTTAAAATGACAATTAAGAAAAGGAAGTCAGACATTGTTAACACAATTTGAGAGGAAACGGTTACATATTTTGACATAAAGATGACGGGAATATATAAGTATAAGCTTCACAATACAAATATTACATCGACTCAAATGACCAAACGAATAGAATAAGAAAAACTGGGTAACATTGACATAAACAGCTAGACCGCTTTGGAAAAGTTGAATAACCATTTGAGAAAAAAAACACGACATTGACACAAATAAGTGAACATGTACAGACATAATTATCTATGACGGGAATATATAAGTATAAGCTTCACAACACAAATATTACATCGACTCAAATGACCAAACGAATAGAATAAGAAAAACTGGGTAACATTTACATAAACAGCTAGACCGCTTTGGAAAAGTTGAATAACCATTTGAGAAAAAAAACACGACATTGACACAAATAAGTGAATATGTACAGACATAATTATCTACTTATTTTAAAATAACTATACATTTTGGGGAAAAAAAGCATTGCATCGATCCAAAAACCTAAACGTAGACTTAAATAAATGACACAGATAACTAAACATTTGGTAAAAACACATAGCTGGGTTAGCACTCAACACAAATTTCATACAAGGCGGGGGTGCACGGTTTTTTAAAGCTTTGTTATGGTACAACCTGGTGAAATATAAATCTCTCTCTCGCTACCTGTTCCGCAGAAAAATCCTGAGAATCCTGCCTGACATTGACACGTGTATGGAGGATTTGCTCCGGGTGCTGAGGTGCATCCTGCTTCGTTCTCACATAGATTCCCATTGCAAAGGTCTTGGACTGTAAAGAGGAAGAATGGACAAAAAAAGAGGAAAGAGGTTCGTTAAACCAAGGTCACTCCAAAGAGACCAACCCCAGACCGACAAAAGAGCGAACAGAAATACTTCTGTCACTGCGACGAGACCGATACCAGGCCGATACGAGACCAAATAGAGACGGAACAAATAAAATTACCTTAATACCCCGTAAAAGACCCCAAATTACCCCAATGAAAAGCATTTGATCGGTTTAGAATAAGACGGTCTGGCGGTAAAATAGGAGTACAAATTGTCGTGAAAGAGGTGTTTCTATAATCCTGATAAAAATTAAAATCACATACACGATCAGAACATACATTCATAGGGAAATTACATTCATGACGAGGATTTATAGGCAACTTACTGGTCATTGAATCATACCAGAATAATAATTCGTTATGAAAGAAGAAGAAGGACAAACAAATAGTTAAGAACACGGTAAATATTTATTGATGAGGATGGAAGAAAACATGAAACTATATCAAATGCAGTTTGATGAAATATGAAAACAATGGTCCTTTCTTATATGAACAAGAATGAGTTGTCATTAAGCATGTTCGCGTATGTACTTATATGTTCTATATAGACACTATCTATACAGCAAAGCAATACATGAATATGACATACATTAGGGAATGAAGTAAATATAATGATATATTACTAGAGATTTACCTGATGATCACATACTATCATTTCGAGCAAAATAATCTACCAAAGCAAAACCATGAGTGGAGCTTAACTCAAAGTAAAGTAAGTTTAATAATAAACAGCTAAAATTTTGATACAAACCCATTTCACAAAATTCTCCGCTGAATCCAGTGGGACATTCACATGTGTAGTTAGTGATAGAGCCAACTACTGTGTTACATGAAGCGCCATTTTCACAGCTATTGTTATCACAAGGGTTTATTTCTAGAAGGTTAGAAACAAAGTTGCGGATATAATGATTGGAAGTAAAGTAAAGGCAACGGTAAGACACACACTTTACTCACAACAAAGTCTACGTAAAAACATGGACAACCACTACATAGTTATTAGGCATTCAACAAGCACAATGGTGTGACTATATTTACATGACATGGTTACGATTTGGGGGTAAGGTTATGATAAGCATGCAGTATATTTTATCCATTTGGTAGATTGCTGAGCAAAGCACACATAACACACATTTCGTGAACTAGGATAACGTAGGACAGATGAAAATGTCTGATTATTTTGCTGTTAGAAATACAGACCTGTTTCACATCGTTCTCCAGAGAATCCAATCACACATTCACACGTGTAGTTTACAGAGTTAGGCATAGGTTTACAGGTAGCTCCATTTTCACACGAGTTATTAGCACATGGATCTATTTCTACATGAAAACAAGGCAGAGATGTAAAGGTACATTGTTATATTAACTCCTAATCTAGGACAGAAAGTGAAGGCCTAATACGTCTTTTCATACACTCTAAAAACTAAAATGCTAAATCAACATTTAAAAGGGCTGTGGAGTAACCACTTTCTAAAATTGTCAGTTCAACACTTTTACCATGCTAGATTCAACTGTTTATAGTGTTAGATCCAGCATGTGGGAAGTGTTAATTTAGCCCCTTAAATTATGATCAACATTTTAGTTTTAAGAGTGTAGTTCAGAGTGAAAATAATTGATTGGCTTTGAACTGCTACTAAACATTGTGAAACAAATCCAGCAAGCGAAGCAAACAGGAAAACAAAACATAAAGGCTTTAGTTTTTGTTGTGGAAAGGTAATTATTTCTAGAAACACTGTTGATAGAGATCCTGATAACATACGAATATAAATTTTCTAGGGCATTAGAAATATTTAGATATTAGGAGTTTAGGGAGCTGGGTTTCTAATTATATAATGATAGGCCTACAAATGAGGTAATGATAATGATACAATTATTTACGTACATGTTCCAACCCAGCAAAGCAATGAGAAAGTTCAAATGAGTATGGAAAAAACTGAATATAAAAATGAAAAAAACGAACCTAGTTCACAGAATTTTCCGCTGAATCCGGTAGGACATTCACATGTGTAGTTAGTAATAGAGCCAACTACTGTGTTACATGAAGCGCCATTTTCACAGCTATTGTTATCACAAGGGTTTATTTCTAGAAGGTTAGAAACAAAGTTGCGGATATAATGATTGGAAATAAAGTAAAGGCAACGGTAAGACACACACTTTACTCACAAATAAGTCTACGTGAATACATGAACAGCTACTACATAGTTATTTGACATTCAACAAGCGAAATTATGTGCCTATATTTACATGACATGGTTACGATTTGGGGGTATGGTTATGATAAGTATGCAGTATAATTTATCTATTAGATAGATTGCTGAGGAAAGCACATATACAACATATTTTGTGAACTAGGATAACGTAAGATAGATGAAAACGTCTAATTATTTTGCTGTTTGAAATACAGACCTGTTTTACATCGTTCTCCAGAGAATCCAATCACACATTCACACGTGTAGTTTACAGAGTTAGGCATGGGTTTACAGGTAGCTCCATTTGCACACGAGTTATTAGCACATGGATCTATTTCTACATGTATACAAGACAGAGATGTGAAAGGGACAATGATATATTAACTCCTAATCTAGGACAGAAAGTGAAGGCCTAATACGTCTTTTCATACACTCTCAAAACTAAAATGCTATATCAACATTTAAAAGGGCTGTGGAGTGACCACTTTTTTCAAATTGTCAGTTCAACACTTTTACCATGCTAGATTCAATTTCTTGATAGTATTTGATCCAGCACGTGCGAAGTGTTCATTTAGCCCCCTTAAATTATGATCAACACGTTAGTTTTAAGAGTGTAGTTTCAGAGCAAAACAATTGTGTTTGCTTCAAACTGCTACTAAGATGGTGAAACATATTTAACAAGCAAAGCAAACTAGAAGCAAAAAAGGCTTTATTTTTGTTGTTGTGCAAAGATAATTCTTTCTATAAGCACTGTTAATAGAGATCGTGATAACATACGCATGTAAAAGTTTTAGAGTATTAGAAATATTTAGATATAAGGAGTTTAGAGTGCTCGGTTTCTTATAATATAATGATAGGCCTACAAATGAGGTAATGATAATGATACAAATATTCATGTACATGTACTACCGTAGCAAAACAATGAGAAAAGTTCAAATGAGTATGAAAAAAACGAACCAAGTTCACAGAATTCTCCTCTGAATCCGGTGGGACATTCGCATGTGTAGTTAGTGATAGAGCCAACTACTTTGTTACATGAAGCGCCATTTTCACAGCTATTGTTATCACAAGGGTTTATTTCTAGAAGGTTAGAAACAAAGTTGCGGATATAATGATTGGAAGTAAAGTAAAGGCAACGGTAAAACACACACATTACTCACAAAAAAGTCTGCGTGAATACATGGACAACTACTACATAGTTATTTGACATTCAACAAGCGAAATTATGTGCCTATATTTACATGACATGGTTAAGATTTTGGGGTATTGTTATGATAAGTATGCAGAATAATTTATCTATATATTAGATAGATTGCGGAGGAAAGCACATATAAAACACATTTTGTGAACAAGGATAATGTAAGATAGATGAAAATGTCTGATTATTTTCCTGTTTGATATACAGACCTGTTTCACATCGTTCTCCCGAGAATCCAATCACACATTCACACGTGTAGTTTACAGAGTTAGGCATAGGGTTACAGGTAGCTCCATTTGCACACGAGTTATTAGCACATGGATCTATTTCTACATGAATACAAGACAGAGATGTAAAGGTACAGTGACATATTAACTCCTAATCTAGGCCAGAAAGTGAATGCCTAATATGTCTTTTCATACACTCTCAAAACTAAAATGCTAAATCAACATTTAAAAGGGCTGTGGAGTGACCACTTTCTAAAATTGTCAGTTCAACACTTTTACCATGCTAGATTCAACTGTTTATAGTGTTAGATCCAGCATGTGGGAAGTGTTAATTTAGCCCCTTAAATTATGATCAACATTTTAGTTTTAAGAGTGTAGTTCAGAGTGAAAATAATTGCATTTGCTTTGAACTGCTCCTAAACATTGTGAAACGAATCCAGCAAGCGAAGCAAAAAGGAAAACAAAGCATAAATGCTCTATTTTTTGCTGTGCAAAGGTAATTCTTTCTAGAAACACTGTTGATAGAGATCCTGATAACATACGAATATAAATATTCTAGGGCATTAGAAATATTTAGATATTAGGAGTACAAATGAGGTAATGATAATGATACAATTATTTACGTACATGTTCCAACCCAGCAAAACAATGAGAAAATTTCAAATGAGTATGGAAAAAACTGAATATAAAAATGATATAAACGAACCCAGTTCACAGAATTTTCCGCTGAATCCGGTAGGACATTCACATGTGTAGTTAGTAATAGAGCCAACTACTGTGTTACATGAAGCGCCATTTTCACAGCTATTGTTATCACAAGGGTTTATTTCTAGAAGGTTAGAAACAAAGTTGCGGATATAATGATTGGAAGTAAAGTAAAGGCAACGGTAAGACACACACTTTACTCACAAATAAGTCTACGTGAATACATGAACAGCTACTACATAGTTATTTGACATCCAACAAGCGAAATTATGTGCCTATATTTACATGACATGGTTACGATTTGGGGGTATGGTTATGATAAGTATGCAGTATAATTTATCTATTAGATAGATTGCTGAGGAAAGCACATATACAACATATTTTGTGAACTAGGATAACGTATAGATGAAAATGTCTGATTATTTTGCTGTTTGAAATACAGACCTATTTCACATCGTTCTCCCGAGAATCCAACCACACATTCACACGTGTAGTTTACAGAGTTAGGCATAGGGTTACAGGTAGCTCCATTTGCACACAAGTTATTGACACATGGATCTATTTCTACATGAATACAAGACAGAGATGTAAATATACAGTGATATATTAAAGACTTTTAGATTTGCGTGGACTGATACGTATGACGTCCTTTCAAGGCAATGCATTAAAAGGACGTCGATCGTAGCAATCCCCATTGTCTTCGTGCGAATCTAAAAGTCCCTATTAACTCCTAGACTAGGACAGAAAGTGAAGGCCTAATACGTCTTTTCAAACACTCTCAAAACTAAAATGCTAAATCAACATTTAAAAGGGCTGTGGAGTGACCACTTCCTAAAGTTGTCAGTTCAACACTTTTACCATGCTAGATTCAACTGTTTATAGTGTTACATCCAGCATGTGCGAAGTATTAATTTAGCCCCTTAAATTATGATCAACATTTTAGTTTTAAGAGTGCATTGCAGAGGGAAAAAAATTGTATTTGCTTTGTACTGCTACTAAACATTGTAAAACATATTCAAAGAGCAAAAGCAAACAGGAAAACAAAACATAAAGGCTTTAGTTTTTGTTGTGCAAAGGTAATTCTTTCTAGAAGCAATGTTAATAGAGATCCTGATAACATACACATGTAAACGTTCTAGGGTATTAGAAATATTTAGATTTTAGGAGTTTAGGGCAGGCGCGGATCCAGGGGGGGGGCCGAGCGTGACTTGCCCCCCCCCCCCGCAAAAAAAAGAGAGAGAGAGGAAAGGAAAAGAAGGGAAAGGGAAAGAGGAGAGAAAGGGAAAGAGAGAAGAGGAAGAAGAAAAGAAAAGGGGGAAGAAAAAGATCGGGGGGCCGAAAGGGCCTTGCCTCCCATGCTGTTGCCCCCCCCCCCCAATCACAAAAATAAGAGAGAAGGAAGGAAAGGAAAAGAAAAAAGAAAATGGGGAGATACTGGCAAACTGATAGGGGGTAGGGGGCTTGTGGGAAATCAAATTTAAACGTGGTTTATTTCTAATTCCATAACGGTAGATTACAAATAATGCTGAAATGACATAATTTCAGAGATTTTTCCTCACTTTTTAGTAAATTATACGTTTTTATGTGACAAATTCCTAAATTTACAGCCAGGCAAGAAATGTGATTTTTGAGATTCCTACATGTCAGGGCCCGAGGAACGGCGGGGATCGAGAGCCTCGAGCCCCCCCCCCCCCAACTTTTTTTGAAAAGGTATATTAAAGAAAAATAAAAAAGAAAGAGAGCAAGAAAGAAAAAAAGAGTTAACTGCTAGTGTCAAAAAATAGTGAGGCATCAAAATATGCTCATCTGACCGTGATTAAATGCCTAAAGCCCCCAAGCTTCCGGGGGCTCTGCTGGTCCCTGGATTCCACCTAGGGCCCTAAGGCGGGCCCTTAGATGCTCATTTGACGGTAATTTAATGTCTAAAACTCCTGAGCCTCCGGGGGCTCCACCGCCTCGACCCCACCAGGGGCCCTAAGGCGGGCCCCTGAATGCTTATCTGACCGTAATTTATAGCCCCTGAGCTTCTGGGGTCGGACAAGTTATCAAAATGTGTTTAACTGACCGCAGGCGCGTAGCCACGGGGGGGGGGGGGGGGGGGCTGTGGGGGCGGTCCCCGAAAATCGCCGTCAAAATAAAATAAGAGAGGAGAGAAAAGAAAGAGGGCGTAGGAATAAAAAGGAGCAGACAAAGAACATCTTTGAAATTCAGACAAGGATTAAGAGTAGAGAACGGTACAACGCATCGTCTTCTTTCTCTAATGATTTAATAAAACGTCAAAGCTTCCGCGCTTCACGCAGGAGGGGAGGGGGGGGGGGGACTGAATTCAGACAAGGATTAAGAGTCGAGAACGGTACAGCAAATCGTCTTCTTTCTCTCAAAATCTCATGAAACGTCCAAAATTCCGCGCTTTGCGCGGTAGGGGAAAAAACTGAATTCAGACGAGGATTATTATCGAGAACAGTATAACGGATCGTCTTCTTTCTCTAATGATTTTAATAAAACCTAAAAGCTTCCGCGCTTTGCGCGGGAGGGGGGGGGGGAAAACTTAATTCAGACGAGAATTATTTTCGAGAACGGTACAACGAATCGTCTTCTTTCTCTATTGATTTAAATAAAACTTAAAGCTACCGCGCTTCGCGCGGGAGGGGGGGGGGGGAACGAATTTAGACAAGGATTAAGAGTCGAGAGCGGTACAACGAATCGTCTTCTTTCTCTAATGATTTAATGAAACTTAAAAGCTTCCGCGCTTCGCGCGGGAGGAGGGAGCCTGAATTCAGACGAGGATTAAGAGTCGAGAACTCTACAGCGAATCGTCTTGTTTCTCTAATGATTTAATGAAACGTTAAAGCTTCCGCGCTTCGCGCAGGAGGGCAGGGGGGAACTGAATTCAGACAAGGATTAAGAGTCGAGAACGGTACAGCGAATCATCTTCTTTCTCTCATAATCTTATGAAACGTCAAAAATTCCGCGCTTTGCGCGGGAGGGGAAAAACTGAATTCAGACTAGGATTCAGAGTCGAGAAAGGTAATACGAATCGTCTTGTTTCTTTAATGATTTAATGAAATGTAAAAGCTTCCGCGCTTCGCGCGGGAGTGGGGGGGGGGGGGGGGAACTAAATTCAGACGAGGATTATTTTCGAGAACGGTACAACGAATCGTCTTCTTTCTCTAATGCTTTTAATGAAACTAAAGAGCTTCAGCGCTTCGCGCGGGAGGGGGGGGGGGCCTGAATTCAGACGAGGATTTAGAGTCGAGAACTGTACGACGAATCGTCGTTTTTCTCTAATGGATTAATGAATTGCAAAAGCTTCCGCGCTTTGCGCGGGAGGGGGGGGGGGGAACCTGAATTCAGGCGAGGATTTAGAGTCGAGAACTGTACGACGAATCGTCTTTTTTCTCTGATGGTTTAATGAATCGTAAAAGCTCCCGCGCTTTGCGCGGGCGGGGAAAAACTGAATTTAGACGAGGATTATTTTCGAAAACGGTACAACGAAACGTCTTCTTTCTCTAATAATTCAATGAAACGTCAAGAGGGAGGGGGAACTCGCCCCTCCCTGCACCCACCCCCCTCCCCGCATTACGTCACTGCTGGTCAATATTACGTACCAATATTTGGCTCGCATAATTTCAAATTTGGCCCCCCCCCCCTCTAAGAAATCCTGGATCCGCGCCTGGTTTAGGGTGCTGGGTTTCTAATTATATATTGCTAGGCCTACAAATGAGGTAATGATAATGATGCAAATATTTACGTACATGTTCCAACCCAGCAAAACAATGAGAAAAGTTCAAATGAGTATGGAAAAAAACTGAATATAAATATGAACAAAACGAACCCAGTTCACAGAATTTTCCGTTGAATCCGGTAGGACATTCACATGTGTAGTTAGTGATAGAGCCAACTACTGTGTTACATGAAGCGCCATTTTCACAGCTATTGTTATCACAAGGGTTTATTTCTAGAAGGTTAGAAACAAAGTTGCGGATATAATGATTGGAAGTAAAGTAAATGCAACGGTAAGACACACTTTACTCACAAAAAAAGTCTACGTGAATACATGGACAGCTACTACATATTTATTTGACATTCACCAAGCAAAATTGTGTGATTATAATTACATGACATGGTTACGATTTGGGGGTATGGTTATGATAAGTATGCAGTATAATTTATCTATTAGATAGATTGCTGAGGAAAGCTCACATACAACACATTTTGTGAACTAGGATAACGTAAGATAGATGAAAATGTCTGATTATTTTCCTGTTAGAAATACAGCCCTGTTTCACATCGTTCTCCAGAGAATCCAATTACACATTCACACGTGTAGTTTACAGAGTTAGGCATAGGGTTACAGGTAGCTCCATTTTCACACGAGTTATTAGCACATGGATCTATTTCTACATGAATACAGGACAGAGATGTAAAGGTACAGTGATATATAAACTCATAATCTATGCGGAAAGTGCCTAATACATCTATTCATACACTCTAAAAACTAAATGCTAAATCATCAATTTAAAGGACTGTGGAGTGACCACTTTTTTAAAATGTCAGTTCAACACTAGTTTTACCATGCTAGATTCAACTGTTGATAGTGTTGGATCCAGCATGAGCGAAGTGTTCATTTAGCTCCCTTAAATTATTATCAAC